AATCGTCAACTTAATTTTCAGTTTTTTCGTTATTAAGAATTTATCAATGTCCTTTATTTACTCAGTAATTCACAATTTAATTACAATGCACTTTACTGGTAACAATCACTTGTATAAGACTTTCACAATTTACTTTGATTTAATGTAATCTCCAACGCGTTTACTTTACGATTCAATATAAACAAATAGTCTATTCCGCTTTACTCTGTTCTGATGTTGTTACCAGTTGAGTGTCGCCCTTATGTAGCAGTCGGTTGCTCGTAGACGAAAATGTAGAATAATCGAGTTGTTCGATATCGAAGGTTCTCGTTTTATCGCTCTAGAATGTACTAGTTATCGGATTGTACAGCAACACCAAATCTCTATTTTGGAAACCCTTGGAGTTCATCGCCTTGTCATACCGGGTCTTCATTTTGTCACTCATAATTTGAGTTCGCTGTCTCACAAGTGCTTGTACCTCTCTTAGCTCTTCCTCGAGATCGGTCGATGTTACCTTCCCAATTCTTCTCGCATCGCCAGTTATTCCAAATTTTAAATCGCTGGGCAACCGTAGTTCACTTCCAAGCAGTATCCTCGCAGGTGTTTGCCCTGTAGTTACATGCACTGCGGACCGATAATCCATCAGGAAAAGCGGTATATGCACATCCCAAACATCCTGATGCTTGTCCACTCTACCATACCATCTGATTGAAGATGTAGGGCTGTCGTTCGGGTTTTTCGAATATCAAGTATTTGGCACATCTCCTGGAACCCCGCCGATTCAAAGTTTCTTCCCTGATCTGAGTGCAATTCTATAGGCGCACCGTATCTGGTAACCCAATTGTTAGTGAATGCATCCGCAACTGTTTTTGCGTCTTGGTTTGGGATAGGGTAAACTTCAGGCCATTTACTGAAGTAGTCCATAACCACAAGAACGTATTTGTTTCCTTGTTTGCTAAAGGGAATAGACCGGCTACATCTTAGGCGATCCACTCAAATGGTGCCCCTACGTTATAATGCTTCATCTGCACATGACTTCGAGACCTTGAGCTTTTAGCTGCTATGCACTCCGTGCAATTAGCAATCCACTCCGCGACCGATTACTTGATCTTTTCCAGCGTTTTTCTAATGTCTAGGTGCCCTCCGCTAGGACCGCTTCCGGGAGCACTGGCCATCTTCATTTTCCCACACTCTATGCAAACAGCCGGATATCATCTCTAAACTTTTCCATTGTGCTCGGTATGCCTTCGCGATAGACTTGGTCGTCTATTTACCTCTAACCCGTGCATGAATAACTCTAAATCTAGATCTTCTTGCTGACATTTCCTTAAGTTACTTGCCTCCCATTCTTTTGCTTGCGTAACTTTCATTAGCCGGACGTCTATTATGTCTTCTTTTTCTCAGCTTTTGAGCAATATTTACATTCTGTATTACATGGTCGACGGGACATAGCTTCAGCATTTCCGTGCGTATTCTCCTTGCGGTGCTCGATTGTGAAGTCATAACTTTGCAGCCTCTCAATCCACTGTGCTAGCTGCCCTTCGGGATTCTTGAACTGTAGTAGCCACTTCAGCGCTGCATGATCCGTTCTAACTCGGAAATGTTGACCATACAGATATTTGTGGAAGTGTTTGATGCAATCCACCAAGGCTAATAGTTCTCTTCTCCTATGCCATATCCACTAGCATCTGTGTCCAGAATAAGTGTTGCACCTGGAACCGGGTACGCTAGCATAGGCGCAGTGCATAGCCGTTGCATAACCCAAATGGCATTACCGTAAATTGCCATAGACCGTTGCCAACACTAAAGGCTGTCTTCTTTTTATCTTCTTCACTCATTCCCACTTGCCAATACCCGCTCTTAAGGTCGAGTGTTGAGAACCATTCTGTGCCAGTTCATGAGTCTAGTGTATCATCGATCCTGGGCAAAGGATAGCTGTCCTTCTTTGTGACATCGTTTAATCTTCGGTAGTCCACGCGGAACCGCATGAGTACTACTGGAGAGCTCCAAGGACTTGTGGATGGCTCGATAACACCGTTTTCGCTCTTTTCCTTAATTATTTGGCCAACAGTGTCATGTTTGGCAAGTGGAACGCTCCAAGGAGCTTGACCAATTGGTCTTGCGCCACCCGTATCGATGCAATGTTTCACTAAGTTGGTCCAGCCTGGTTTGCTGCCATCCTTGTTAAATATCTTAGAGTATTTGCGGATAAGTTGGCTTTCTTCATGTCCTTCCTGGAGTCGTTTTCCGATGAGTCATTGATGATGGCTTCCACTTCTTTACAATGCCCTAATATAGTCCCTCCAGGAATTTTTACTGGTGATCTGAAGCCAATTAATACTCTCATTGGGATGCGTCCATTCTTTTCCGTCTTAGCCAGAGTTTTAGCAATAAGTATGTCCGGTGTAGAATCTTTTGTTGCGTCGACAGCCCACAATTTGCTTGTCCCACAATCTCCATTGATTTTTTGCCCACACAACTGCTTCTGACTTTGGTGGAATCAGCTTGCTGCCTTCTAAGATCACTTGCTTGCTGCTGTGCGTGGAATTATAGCCAATGCTTAGTGGTACTTCCATATTCCTCTATACCATAATGTTGTTATTAAAGTCGATCTTGACACCTTGATCCGTCAAGAAGTCCACTCCTATGATTACCTCATCTACAATCTGCGCGACGATAAAGCTGTGTACCGTCACATTATCTACTGTGACCTCACACGTTACTTCCCCCACCACTTGGCTATCCACACAAGTCGCCGTTTTCAATATTGCTCCAGGTAATGGTCTCACTTGTTTAGCGATCAGATCAGTTCGAATAATGGAGTGTGATGCATCCGTATCCACTGTTAATATTCGCTCTCGTTCACCAACATATCCACCAATGGTAATGTTGCTCGGTTTTCTGCCAATTTGCGATACGGAGGTTATGGGGCATTCAATTGCAGGAGCCAGCTTACGCCCCTTTAGGCTAGCTTGATTTAGTTTAACGATTGCGAAGTTGATGGTTCATCTTCCTCTGCCTTCCGTTTTCGTTGTATCTCCAGTCTGCTGGAACTTGTTTTGTATTCGCGTGCGTAGTGACCATTCTTTCCACATTTAAACCATCTTTCCATCTTGAAACCAGAACGATTCATTCCTTCTAGCAGAGTTCTCAATATTTCCGTCATCACATCTGGTGTTTCAACCTCTATTTTATTGACTTTGTATGATGGTCTGCTTATGAGTGCTGCCGTTTCACGTGTTTGTGCATACGCAACAGTTTCAACGAATGTCAACTTTGGATTCGCATTTGTCTCTCGCTTGATGTACACGTCTTTTATTCCGCTGATGAATCTTAGTATCTTCACCCTTTCAAGATGCTCACCCGATGTGTCTCCAATGGCTAAATGAGCCAATCTCTCAACTTCCGAAGCATATTCCTGCAGAGATTCGTTGGATTTTTGGTCGCACTTTTCTAACTCCATCTGGTAAATCTGTCTTCTGTATTCGGTACCATAGCGAATACTCCAGCGTTCGCATCAATCAGTCGTAATTATTTCTCTCGTTTACGGATATGGTTTGCAAGAGTTCGGCTGCCGGTCCTTTCAACGCAACGAATAGTGCAGCGGATTTTTCCTCTATGCTCCAGCTGTTTGTTATAATGGGATTTTCCCGTCAAAAGATGGTGTTTTTACCTTTGAAGCGTTCACTGAAGCGGTTGGACGAGTTAGCTGCAATTCCCGGAAACGACTTTCCAATGCGTTGACTTTGGTCTCAATTAGATCTTGCCTTTCCTTAAGTTCCGCATTGTTCCTCACCAGATTTTGCTGTATTTGCGCTATTGTTCCTTCCAATGCTAATGTCTGCTCCCTCTGTTCAACCATTTGTGATGTAATGCTGGCTTTAATTTCAAACATATTACTACAAATATTTAAACAAAAATTAAATTTAAATATGAAATGAGATATAAAATTGTATAAAATTAATAATGCTATATTTCTGTTTTAATATAATATATGTATATACTCGTATATATGTATATTTTTGAAATAAATAACTTGCTCTGATTTTTATTGATGAAAAAATTATTGATATTGATGTTGATTGAAGCGTTAGTTGATATGGTAAGTCTTCATAAATAATCATTTCAATTTCAATGAATGAATCACAGCAGGATCGAGGTTTCCTTTTATAAAATTGTTTTTTATTTCTTGTCGCAAAACTTACAGCAGAAAATATAGTAAATTGTTTGATAATTCTTTTTTAGTTTATGATAGACGTTATTTAAAGAATTCCACACACNATTGTTCGCTATGGAAGGTTCTTGTTTCATCGTTTCTAGAACGTACTAGTTATCGGCTTCTCTCTTTCATCTGACATTCGCCTCGCATTTTCGCAACAATATTTTTTTTGTGAGTTGACACGAGGATTTACCAGAGAACGTTAAATAACGAGAAGGAATGATTGCGGACAGAACTAAGAGACTTAATTCACCACTGCCGCCAGAAATTGTCTATTTTCGTCACCATTTATGAGCAATAATATTTATAATAATAAATTAACAAAATAATTGTCTTCCAAATATCATTATTATGTAAAAAATGTGTCTTCTCTGGTAGTTCGCTGGTAACTAGCGATGAAATAGTCTCTTAATAATATCGTATAGAGGTGAAATAGCCTTTTCTTCTCTTTAATATACGTTCTCTGGATTTACCAAACCCTTTAATTCGATCGTGAGTTATTATACACACCTTGTTTGCTTCTTTATAATAGCGACTAATTATGCAAATCATGTACAATCCATGGATTATTATACAATTGCTCTTAAATTGCCTCTAAGCTACTTTTCTCTCCTTGATTTACTGTGCAAGCGAAATACCAAACGTATGTTCTACATACAATGACTATTCTCTCGACCTAATCTCTTCAGCCTACTAAATCCTATTCATGTAACCTCGGATTGAAACTATCACGGAAACATATAAGATAAAATTTATTGCTGGGTAAACATCCCATAAGCAACCCTACAACAAAGTATTTGACAAATGTAAAAATTTTAGTATTGAAATGGTAAATATGAAAATGATTGTTTTTTTTATGCTTACCAATAGTATGAAGTGATTTGTGTACGAATTGAGCTAAAGAGAAATTATTCATTAGCACGTTATGAGCTTTGGAGATTTGGACTTTAGTACAACGCGTCGGCTTGTGGTCATAGTTATAATATTGCTTACTATATTATTTGCTAAAAGAATTTTATTCGAGGACGATATAGAAATTAATTAATTTCCAGTTCATTACTGAAGGCATATATTTTAAAAATGACCACATCTACTAATCGTCGAGTATCGTATTTCTACAATCCAGATGTAGGGAATTTTCATTATGGTCCTGGGCATCCAATGAAACCACATCGCTTATCTGTTACTCACAGTCTAGTTATGAACTATGGACTACATAAAAAAATGAAAATATATCGGCCTTACAAGTATATATGTGTAGCTCCCATGAAAACATCAAAATTTAATAAGAATTGTATATTTTAGAGCTAGTGCGCAAGATATGCTCCGATTTCATAGTGAAGAATATATAGACTTTCTACAGAAGGTCACTCCACAAAATATCCAGTGCAATAGTAACTATTAATACATATTTCTTAAATATAAAATTATTTAAAGATCTTATTTACTTTCAGCCGTGGGTTACACAAAATATCTATCCCACTTTAGTGTTGGAGAAGACTGCCCCGTATTTGATGGATTGTTCGAATTTTGTGCAATGTACACGGGAGCATCTTTAGAAGGTGCCCAAAAGTTAAATCATAATCATAGTGATATTTGCATAAATTGGTCAGGCGGATTGCACCATGCAAAAAAATTTGAGGCATCCGGTAATTAACATACTAAACTTTAAAGTTATTTTACTTATTATATCTTACTTTAGGTTTCTGCTACGTTAATGATATAGTGATAGGCATTCTTGAACTACTAAAATACAATCCTCGAGTTTTGTATATTGACATTGATGTGCATCATGGCGATGGAGTCCAAGAAGCATTTTATCTCACAGATCGCGTTATGACGGTGTCATTTCATAAATATGGTAACTATTTCTTTCCTGGTACTGGTGATATGTATGAAATAGGAGCAGAATCTGGTCGCTACTACAGCGTAAATGTACCTTTGAAGGAAGGCATCGACGATCATAGCTATTTCCAAGTATTTAAACCAATTATTTCTGCTGTGATGGACTTTTACCGACCAACGGCGATTGTTTTGCAATGTGGAGCAGATTCACTGGCTGGAGATCGACTAGGATGTTTTTCGCTTAGTACACGTGGACATGGAGAATGTGTAAAGTTCGTTAAGGAATTAAACGTACCCACCTTGGTAGTGGGAGGTGGGGGATACACTTTGCGTAATGTCGCTCGTTGCTGGACTCATGAGACGTCCTTACTTGTAGATGAGAGTATACCAAATGAGTTACCAATGTCGGAATATCTGGACTTCTTTGCACCTGATTTTACACTACACCCGGATGTAAACTCACGTCAAGAGAATGCCAATTCCAAACAATATTTGGAATTGATAGTAAAACATGTTTATGAAAATTTGAAAATGTGTCAACATTCACCAAGCGTACAAATGATACAAGTTCCTCCGGATGTCATTGATATGGAGGAAGTGCGAGTAAAGGAAGAATCTGACCCAGATGTACGTATATCACAAGCTGAAGATGACAAAATGGTGGAGCCGAAAAATGAATTCTATAGTGGTGATGCGGATCAAGACAAAGGGGACACGGCCGAGAGTTAATATACAATATTTTTCCAAAACATAAGGCAAATAATAAGGCATTGAGTGTAATCATATTCTGTTTGCTTTTTATAAAATATGTCAGTGTATGTACTAGAGTTATGAATAGTAATTAATTAGATTTTTTTTAATTTGGTACAAAATAAAAATTAAAATACTTAATATATTCCGTTAGATGTATTATATACACATTTTCATTTCCTCTTTCCATTTATGGTGTTCGTTGACGTTGTTTACAGTTTACTTGAACTGCCTCTAAACGGCAGATGGACTTTTATAAGAAGCCATTTCGTTAAGGACAGAAATAAACTCGGATGTGTTAACATTTTCTATTCACGCGGTCATAATTAGAAAAAATAATTTTATATAATTTTACATGTTTTGCTACCCGAGGCTCGAATCAATAACCGTCAGCATGGAATCACGTATTAATATACACTCGGCTCTTGTGAAATATCTTTGAACTCCTAAATTGATTGAAATGTATAATACCAAAAATTATCGTTCCGCATCAAAATTTATTAAGAAATTAGAAAAGTGTATGTATATAGAGTTTAAATCTGTATAGAACTCATATTTTCGCCATACGATTACATTGGGTTTACTATTGTATAAAAGCTTATTTCAAATACATAATACATATATCGCGGTTATTTTACCAACCGGTTGTCGTGTTGGCCAAACGTCGCATGCGGCGTGTATTACGATCTTGATCTCTTATTTTCTTCTCCATTTCGGCATCAGTCAATGTTTCAAGGAAAGGTGCCCATGCATCAGCGTCACTGGGATTTCGAAAGGGAACATCTATGGTTGAAAGAGGGGCTTCACTGAAGGCGTAAGTACGACAATGCCAAGAAAGTTGACCTCGGATGCTGTAGGCAATCGCTGTTACAAACTCTCCACCCAAACCCAACTCTGCACACAGTTTTATAGCAAATTCTTCCGGATTGTTATTCTTTTCAGACATGTCCCACTCAACTTGATCAACCAGCGAGGTATTGCCAACGTGAATATTGAGTTTAACAATAACACGCTGATCACAGCTCTCTTCAAGTATAGGAGGCTCATTTGGAAAAGCTTCAATTTGTTGTCTAATGGCTTGTGCTATCGCAGGGACAAAATTTATGGGATTCAAATCTAAATCATCACATAGCACCTCTGCAAATTGTTCTGGTGTTATCATACTTTCTGTTAATGAAATTATATTTAAAAAAATTTATTATTACCAAATATATGTATGTGCAATAGTATATACCATTTTTATTCCAAGTGAATGTATCACGTAACTTTTGACCTTCTAATTCCATATCTAGGCGAATAGGTACCAAGCATTCTTTTTGTGCTGCGTTTTCAATGTTAGCAGTTGGATCGGTATCATCAAAACACATAGGGAATGTTCGCACTTTTTTGGTATGAACTCTATTACGGTTTATTGGTGTAGCTTGCGGTACAGCATCCAAATGACTGGAATTCGGCATAGTGGGCACATATTGTGGCTGTTTTTTCGATTTATTTTCGCGTGGTAAAGGGGTTTCCGATGTATTTACCGATATAGCCCGATACCTAAAGATCAAAATAAAAACTTGTATTTATATGTATTATTGCATTGATATTCATAGCTGTGTACATACTTTTCATCATTGCCGGCAATAATATCATCAACTTCAACAGCGCGCAGCAGTGAAACTGAACTGGCTAATATGTGGGAGCTAAGTCCAGAATCAGCAAGTCTTTTCCTTTCCTCATTGGATAGTACCAAACGTGTCATTCCAGGATATTTTTTATATAGAATGCCACGGAATAAACGCATATAATTTCCTACTTCCGACCCCACATAATAGTACTCGCCTCCTTCTTCCAATTGAAAAGCCACAGGCTTGTCTCCATAAGTTTGCAATGCCATTTGCACACAAATTTTAAGTTATTTATGTTTTTTTTTTTTTTTTTTTTTCTCGTAATAAAATATTTGCTTTTTGTACACGCGAAAATCAATCAAAAATCCTTTAATACAAATTGAAATCAAGCGATAATTTTGCTACGACTACGAGTACTTATTACTCGACTTTTTTTCTCTTATATGGCTTTTCCACGACATCGTGAATTACGTTATTCCTCCCTTCAATTATGAACGCGAATTACCTCATTCACATGGCATGCAATTTGACAGTTTTATGTTTCGCTAGTTCACTTTTTTTCCATTTGAAAACTCAGGAATAATGAAAGTTCTTAATACACGACGGTAAAGCACAAGATGAAATTGCACTATTTATTTGATTAAAGAAGATAATTTAAAAGTGCAAATAAAATTTTCTTTATTAAATCAACACATTCAATAAAATTATTTAATATCCGGGTGAACATTATAACTTTTATGACAAATTCTATTTTTTTTGTTTTCAATCAACAAAGAATGTTGATTTCAAACAAAATTTAAACTCTAAAACCATTGTCTTTCGTGAATTCCATATTTTAGTACATATTTTTTCATATATTTGTTTATTTGTTAGTTTGTCCGATAAAAATGAAAGAATAATGAGAGAACGAAAAGTAATCGATAATTATCATACAGTTCGTACATATTCTAAATAAAAAAAAATCAGCCGTATCGAAAATTCAGTAATTTTGTAATGTTTCATCTTCGAACATCTTTACGCTTCTTAATTCTAAATAAAAGCAATGCACCATTGCCAGTGTTGGGTTAGTATGGTAACAAATATCTTATTTTCATTAATGTAGTAAACATTTATTAATATTTATAAACAGACCAAACACGCTGCTTTAAGCGTTGGGTAGCGCCGACGTTACGTGAATTACGCAAACGACAAAAGAAATTAGGTCCACAGGAGCCACAACCCCGTTCTGGTTTTATTGAATGGAATTACCGCGCTGAGTTGTTTGCTTTTGGTAAACGACTTCATGAAGAATTTCAATTGCCAATGCTTCAAACGGCATTGACACAGCCCTCCTACATTGAAAAAGAAAAAGTTCGCCAAACCGAACTTGGTATTTCCGAGGTAGATATAAATATGCAAGATAACTATGAATTGTCCGAACGTGGTGCATATTTAACAAATGAGTGTGTTCAAGCTTTCCTGAAACATTCATTTCCACTTATACCTTTAGAAGGAATAGTTGCCTTCAAAGAATATTTATTAAGTACTGAAATGCTATCGCACATCGCAGCCCATTTAGGCATGACAGAGTTGCTTTTGGATTCAGACTATCCTCCTTCAAAAGAATCCTTGGCCCGTTCGTTACTTGCTATAATAAGTGCAATAGAACAATGTAATGGACAAGAGCGCGCTTTTCTTTTTATACGTGATTTCATATGTACTCAAATGAACCAACGGGATGTATTTGATATGTGGAACATAGAAGACCCGGAAGTACTTTTAAAGCAAATTTGTGAAGAGCGTAAATTGGGAGAAGTTGAGCCCCGCTTGATTGGGAATTGTGGAAAAAATACAGTGCTAGCTACATATTATATAGGCTTGTATGTAAACAAAAAACTAATTGGAAAAGGTAAGTTAGAGTAGCATACCGTGTTGTTAAACAACTAATACATATAATATAAATATATATTCTTAAATCGTTAAAATTCTAACCGCCTTGTATATTATAGGCTTTGGTGAGGATGTGACTACTGCAGTAAAAACTGCTTCTTTGGATGCTCTTCAAGAGCTTTTTAGTATAAAAGACAACATGCGCCCTCTCAATTTCCAGGCTCAATTAAAACCATCAAATATTAAGGCTGTGGAAAATTAGCGCAACAAATGGTTGTTTCCTTATTTCTCAAATAAATCTTGGAAATAAACAGACAAAAGGAGTTTAATTTATTATTTAAGTTGTTGAAATAGCTTTATGCATATATAGACATTTTTTCACATACAAATAGACATAACATAACTACTTATTGAATATTGAAATCAACTTCCGTTACCAAAATAGAGCGATTGTTGTTTTGTATCCATTAAGATGTGTGTCAGATGCTTAGCACAACAGTACCATAAATTTAATATATTATTCCATATTATCCGGCTTACCCCCAACATTGCCGCCACTATTATTTCCGGTGTTGGATGATAATCCAGTATTTGGTTCTTCTGGTTTACTCTCCAGAGAAAATGGAGGTATCTTACAATCAAAAGTGTGGCCGTCTTCGCGCTCTAAACGAAAAGTACCCCACATATGACCGCTTGGTGCCTGCAAGCTAACATGACTGCTATATTGGAACGCTGGTAGTCTTGGACTAAGTATTGGTTCCTGTCCTACAACCCCGCGCCCCCGTACAGTTTCTAGTGTGCCTGAAAGAGAGAAAATACGCCAATGTCTTTCCCGTAACTGCACGCTAAGCACACCCAAATTTTCCAAACGAATGCAGTAGCGCCACTGAAGTGAGAAATTCGTGTGCCATTACTTAAAAAGTTTGATTTGCTCTTCATTCTTACCCAATAAACAGAGGAAGCAGGAGTTTCCCGACATCCCATGTAGAATGGTATCACAGTTACCCGTATGTTTTCTGTTGTCTCTTTGTGCACATCGCTCAGTTCCAGCCATGGATGGTTTTTCTCCTGCCAGGCCTTTAATGTATCTTGTCCTTCAAAAGGCGGATCTTTGCCTGGAATATGTGTCAGAAACTTGTCGAAGAGTTCGTGTTGAAGGGGATGCTTCTCTCCAGATGAATATGGCATTATGTCATCGTGTGCAACATAATCGAGTCCTGGTATAGCATAAAGACTTCGGTTAGAATCCTGATTCCCTAAAAATGTGACCGCTTCAGTTTGAGCGCGCTAAGGGGAAAAATTAACTTTATATATTATGTTTATATAAAAGTTTTGTAACTTACAATATAAGGACAATCGCGGGAATCGATCAAAACTTGATAGAACGTATGAACTTTGCCCTTCACTTCTTTCGCAGATGTTTCAGCGTTAGTTCCGACTGCCTCTGTACTAGTTGACTGCACATCTGTGCTTCGCTCTTCTTGAGTCGTGTTTCCGGCTACTGTAGTAGATGTATGGGTACTGGTTGTACTTTTTCCTTTTTCATTACCGAGGGCTGCAGCTGAAGCCGTATCAGCGTTTATTCTTTGCTTCTGTTTGCTCGGATTATGTAGATCTCTATCATAAACTCGTGCAGACCATGGAAAAAGCACAACACCGCGGTAACCGAAAATGCGGTGAAGAAATAATTGGCCGGTCTCGTATTTGCCATCTAACTTCGCAGATTCCAAGCGTCCAACTTCAGCTAATCTACAAATATACAGATAATAAAAACAATTTTTGCGACGTTTAAATTCGTTATGCAATCAAATGGCACTTCTTTAATTAGACCCTTCTAATATTCCTTGTTTACTGCGCAAAGTGTGCCTTTAGATATTTTAAAAGCAAAACAAAACACATTTCATAACAGCACATATCCGTGGGACATATATTTTAAAGTTTTCTTACTTTGCGAGATTTGATCCCTGTTTCGAGAATTGCCTAATTTCGATAATATCACAATTTTTCACAATAGTTAATGGAGCTATTGCCCGTCGCAAGCTCTTAAATCTTATAGTTTTATTAAATAAGCTATTCATGTTTGTGTTTTTGCTCAACCCTTTCCACTTTTGCTTGTATGTCGCGGCTGTCAGAGGTATATTATTCACTTATATGTATATGGTAATCTGCAGTAAAATGATTTGACAATTTTTTTATTTTTCTTTATTGGTTTTTATTCCTTTTTTTTTCAATAAACAAAACAGAAATATTTTTTTTATTTTCGTAGCTGAATTTTTAGCAAAATTACTCCAAATTTGTCTAATTTTTTCTAATTGATTATTAAAGCTTGGTAGCACTGGTGTTATCAGAAAAAAATTCAATACAAGAATCGTTGAGCAAAACAAAGTAGTTGACATATGAATATTTGTATATTTTGCAAGAAAAATTTGTAAGGAGACAGAAAGGTGAAAATCTTTTCAGCCATTGATTGTCTAGAGTCCAAATAGTCAACTAAATAATAAACTTGTAGGTTGGAATTTTTAGAGCAACAAAAATGGCATTACCGGCTAAAGTTTTTACACTTTCGCGAAATGGTAAGTTCTCAAATTAATTGAATATCTTAGCAATTATGTTTGATGTTGTTTGCCTTATTTGTAGTTGAGGTTATGTAAGTTATGTCACATATTTAAATCTCGTTATAGAAAAATTTTAACATGAAATATTACAGGTCAACGAATGTTTGGTACCAGTCTCCGTTTATCTTCAACTGGCAAGGATATAGTATCTGTTCCAAAAGGTTATGTGTATGTCAACAATAAAGAATTGAGCATGGAAATGAACGAGATCACAGATCGCGCTGCAACGACTATGTTTCTAGGTGAACTGTTTCGGGGTTTTGCTGTAACTTTGGCGCATATATTCAAAGAACCAGCCACTATTAACTACCCCTTTGAAAAAGGTCCCTTAAGTCCACGTTTCCGCGGCGAACATGCTCTTCGCCGATATCCCAGTGGGGAAGAGCGCTGCATTGCTTGTAAATTGTGCGAGGCCATTTGTCCCGCACAGGCTATCACTATTGAAGCAGCAACACGAGCGGATGGTAGCAGACGTACTACACGTTACGATATTGACATGACCAAGTGCATCTACTGTGGTTTTTGTCAGGTAAACAATGGAAAGAAAGATGTTTAATAATTTTATATATATTATATATTCTTTTAGGAAGCCTGTCCTGTAGATGCTATTGTGGAGGGTCCAAATTTCGAATTCTCTACTGAGACTCACGAGGAATTACTTTATAATAAAGAAAAGTTACTTTGCAACGGTGACAAGTGGGAGTCCGAAATTGCATCAAATTTGCAAGCGGACCACTTATACCGTTGAAAATTGCGTTACGAACGTTAAAGAACTTAACTATGGTTAATTTTATGATATATCCAATTAGTCTCAATAAATGCTTATAAACATTATATGCAACTAAAACGCATCTCTTAACATTAGCGATATTAGTAAATTTTATTAATTTGTTTGAAATATAATTAAAATAAGAGTAAATTTGAAACTGTTATTTTCAACGATATTATGATACAAAAAAATCATAAGCAGATTAATTCAAAAAGAAACAAAATCTCCCAAACATTTAGTATTGAATCAGATATAATTATATATATTTAAGTTAAATGCAAAGTATCAATCAGTATCTAATCTTTATGAATCAGTGTTTAATACTGCTTAATATCTAAGAATAACCCCTCTAGGTAAAATAATATTTATGAAACTTTTATTTAGACAGTTCTCAAGAATCTTATTAAAGGTGAACTATGGGAGAATTAAATTACATTCATTGTCCTGGTCCAGACAAAGATTTCTCCATAAACTTTTTCTTAGCAAAACAAATCCACCACTTATTTGGTTTACCATCTTCGGTGTTGAAGACCTTTTCACAAACACGGTTTCCAATTTCATGACGAAGTTGTAGAAAATATTGGCGCATCAAATCTGTTGTTATTACATATAAAGATAGTTTTATTAGTAATTGACATAACGAAAACATTTCATAGTTATTTTACCTGCTTCCTGGGGATTCTGTGGCCTAGCGTATACTGCGTTTAGGGGAAAACCAGCATCTCCCGGAATGTCAAATTTTGAAATTGCTAAGCTGTACATTTCCTGAGCGCCCTGGTTTTTGTTGTTGCAGCGTTGCAAGCGTTTCAGACATTCGGTTATGTAGAGTGTAATGTATATTAGAACCCGGTCCACTTCAGACTTCAATGGGATAATATGTATCAATGTTTTATAAAAACTTAATTTCCAATGGACTTTTTACCTTTATTTCATAAGTTCGAAAGAAAACGTTTGCTTTGAAGTAATAAAGTGACTCATCAATGATGTCGTTATCAATATTGCCACTAGGAGCCGGGCCACGAGCCTGTGTGCGCAACGGTAATATGGCCATGTTTCCCACAACTTGAGGAAATTCTTTAATCTGTGAGTGATATGCCTAAAACGAAATAAATGCAGTTGTACTTTTAAGTTAAATATCCTTAAGTTTTTGATTTATGCAGTAATCACACTAGCCCTGCCTCCAAAACATTCAATCGGATTTTTACAACGAAAACCATATTTACCGGCATTATATATTAATCTTATCCTTTGTATTGGCAAAGAGCAGAATGTTTTGAAAAAATTTATACAAACACGAAATGTTGCTGATACATTAAAATTAAATTAATCATCTCTTTGACTAAACTGAGCTATTTGCTTTATAGTTGGTATACACTTTTCAGTACTTCCATTCCACACCGTTTCGAAATTTCTTAGTTACAAAGCGAGTAAGCAATATTTATTGACTACTGAATAAAAATCAATTCGTTTTATTATACAAGCGACTATTTTAAGACTCTACCAATCTATTTTGCTTTAAACACACTTTTTACTAACTATACAAATTTTTATAAACACCATGTTTATTCGCACAGTTTACGCTTGACTTTACACCGATTTTATCACCTATGAGTTCACTTCGCAACTAGCTGGCGCCGTATAAGCCGCTCTCTTATTTTCCTCACTGAATGCTCGGTATCAGCTCTATAAATTTCTACCAGTTGAGACTTGCGTTCAAAAATTTTCTTCAGTTATCGGCTTATTCTCCTTTAGTCTGTATTTGGCATTTTCGCAACACTGTTATCCCCTTAAGTCGGATCAAACATTTTTTTCGTAGTAGATTGTATAGCAACACTAAGTCCTCATCTTGAAAACCTTCGGCGTTCATCGCCTTATCATACGTGGCCTTCATCTGCGGACCGGTATCACTTTCAGAACAGAGGTATGTAGAAGTCTCAATCATCCTGATGTTTGTCCACGATCTTCCTCACGAGCTCTTCCAAGGTTCGGTTTAAACGTTCTACTATAAACATGATTAGGGATGCGGAGCCGTCGTTAAGGTTTTCCGAATACCCAGTACCAGACGGCTTTTTAATTGTCATAAAAACACTCGTAGGGTTTGAACTTCCCTGCCGAGGGGCGGTCGCAATTAGAAAATTTAGCTTATTTTTTTATTTGAATTAATTTCCCCAACTTTTTGATATCGATTTTAGTGCCTTCCTCAAGCAAGAAATATATTCCTATGACGGCCTCATCTACAATATGAGCGACTGTGAACTTATGTAACACCGCCATATTCACTATTACGACTTCACATGTTACCTCTCCTACAACATGAGTTTGAATTCCTTAATCTCTCTCCAGGCAATAGCCTTACAGCTTTAGTGGTCAAGCAAGATCGAATGATAGAGCGCGACTCGCTGGTATCAACAGTTAGAATCCGCTCATATCGATGATGGCTCATCTTCCTCATCGTTAAATTTCCGACGTCCTTTCTGTGCTTGGTCGTCTTGCATTCGCGTGCGAAGTGACTTGACTTCCCACAAATTGCCACAAATGTAGCACTTCCCGGCACTGGTGTTTTTACCGGTTCATTGCTGTTGCATTTACGATCTCTGCTGTGAATTCATACCTTATTCTTCAAAACATTGCTCATTGTGAATTTGTAAATATCAAGAAACTTTATTGATTTGCTGCTGCGCAATGAATGCTGTTGCATACTCTTAGGTGTGTCAACGCAACATTCATCTAAAGTTGTGCAGCATCGCAAAAAACTTTTATTACAAATTCGATTTTATAATACACAAGAAAAATCATTTACTTTAAATTTTTTTAAAGGGATTTATACTTTCATAAATTAGAATAATCTTATTGCTAAACAAATAATAAATAGAAATGTCACAGTTCCAAAGCGTACCGGATACTGGAGGTGGGTATTAAATATTAACAGATAACACATCTAAGAATTCATATTTTAATAATTATTTTAAATTCAATTAGATGATCTTGATAATGAATCGGTAGAAGTGTTGCGTGCACGCTTGAACGATATGAAACGGCTAATGAGTGAACGCACTGCCCAAATACAACATAATCCTGCCACCACAGAGCAGATATGGAGCACAAAACGACAAACCACTACAGGAATTATCGATGGCAATTTCCTAAGCGTTGCTTTTGGAGGTGCTCTGTTGGTTATCGCGTCGGTTTCTGTGTACGCCTTTTATAATCTATATCATGCAATATTGAAAAAATTTCCTTCACATCACGAAGAGTTGTAGAATACGCTGATCGAAATTAGGTTGCGTACACAGTTAGATAAAGTTATACATATGCAGAGAACTTAAAATATTATTTTATTATATTTTATTATATATATTTTATTATTATTTTAAGTTCTCTGCATATGTATGTATGTACCTAGCACTTATTGGTTACTGAAGGATATACGATATCAGCGGTATGTTCATGTTTAAAATGTTTACGGGTTACATACAAGCATGTTTGCTTGTTTGTAACTACTTCAGTCTAACGGAGATTAATATAGTATACTACACCATTTTACGAAAATCATTTTAAGGTGATTTAAATTTAAACGTAATAAACTTCAATTTCACATAAAAATATACATTTCCATTTTTTCCGTGATTTGCCGTCAATCGCGGTTAAAAAAAGCATGTGGGTAGTTGAAGTTGTTTTCCAACAAACTTTTATTGATAATAATTATTCTGGCCCGTAAGGTATATTGAAGATATTTAAAAAAAATTATTTTACTTACCTTTCCAAGGACAACAACTTTTCAAATTTCGGTGAACAATTTTTCGAAATATAACCCATTTAAATATCGCTTTTGTTCTATATCTCGGAGAACAAGTTTCCGCCAAAACATGTATATTCTTACATACATACATATATCGTCGCTTGGTGTGCAATACCGCGTATATGGGCATTTCCACAGACATGACAACCGTCGCTGTAAAATCAATGTAAACTTATTTTCTATTTGACCATACCACAATTTGAAATATTCGAAAGCATTGCCGTGTACGATATTGAAAAAGAACATTTGTTACCACTGCGTCGAAAGTAATTGTACAATTTGCAACAAATTGTAACAAACAGATATTTGTATTGTAAATTAAATAGTACAAAAAATTGCTGGAAAATAATCAACGCTTATTTAAAGTTTTAGCGTGCGTAAGTGTGAAATGAATAAATTCAAAACAAAATCTCTTTCGATAATATTTTAATTTGTGATAGTGTAATCGTACAAAAAAAAAATGAAGTTATATTTTCTAATTGCGGTCGCCCCTCCGGACATGAAATAAAGCTCTTCCTCAGCCGTTCGGAGGTGGCTTAGTATAAACTGTAGGTGCCTCCATTTGTTAGAGAAAACATTAAGACGCAAAGAACACAAATTGGGGGATGATCTCGGCCGAAAATCGCTTCAGCGGTTACAAGGCGCCAATTATATATATAAGTGTAATCGTTGTTCTCTTTTAATAAATATAAAACTAAACCCAACAAAACCCCAAATTCGAAGCAACCCCTAGCAACAAATATAGGGCGAGCAGAGAACGTATAATAACGAGAAGCGGCAGGGCGTGTCGATTATCAAATTGGTCCGCTGACTCGTTTTATGAAAGCGTATTTCAACACGCAAATCTGAAAGCGTATTTCACCTTACTTTAACAGTGAGCAGACAGAAATCGTGCTTCCAAAGATGACTAGATATGAGACTTACTCAAAATCACTCATATTGCAGATGAGAGCGTTTCCCCTTCTCACATTCTAATTTTAAGAGCAGTGTCAGATCGGGGAACATTAAAAAAATGCATCAGTACCACTATGTTAGTAAAAAAAAACATTGTTTTTGTTTCAAAAGTAATTTGATTCAATTGTAATAAAATACGTTGTTTTTTATAATAAAATACCCAAAATATACCTAAAAATTCAAAGAAGTAATTATTTTTATCACAGTGGCACCGTTCAGAAATGTTATATAACATGAGCATTTTTGAGCGCTCTCCCGAAATAAAGAGTTTCGTAGCAATCATCAATGATTGCTACTACCGCGTGTGAATTTGCCTTGTGCTAAATTTTACTGACATTTCTCACCGAACAGGGCTAATTTTAATTCGCCTTATAAACAGGCGATGAAAACAAAACAGTAGAAGCGACGGATCGAAACACGTGCCAGAGAACTTATAACATTATTATTATTATAAGTTCTCTGCGTGCAGCCGTTAGCCGTCAGCCGTCTTCGTCAACATAGTGCTTTGGATTTTAATATAATTCAATTAATTATAAATTTGAAGAATAATTTTTTAAGCAACTTATAGCTATTATGGGCTTGACAAAACAGTATTTAGCCTATCGACCTGTAGATAGCTTTAACGTTATCGCCAGTGGTAGAGCTAATGTAAATTTTGCCACCTTGAATAGAATTGAAGGCCGTTATGCGCTAGCAGCAGCGGCTGAAAATGTAGTTATTTGGGATTTAAGGTAAAACTTAAGTAAACTTAGGAAGCATTCATCTAGTAATCAATATAAATTCGTTTCACTAGATTGGGTGAGCGTGCTTTGACATTACGCCGGGACAAACAAGAAGTAACTGCAATTCGAGCCTCTCCAGACCACATACATGTTGCTGTGGGTTACATTGATGGTGTTGTAGAACTTTTCGATTTACTAGCACCTGAACAATCTGTATGTACCTTATCGTTGCATAAGAGTGCAGTTTCTATACTGCGTTTCGACGCTATGGGAATAAGATTAGTTAGCGGCAGCCTTGACACTGAACTAATCGTTGTGGACATTGTGGAACAAGCCGGCCGTCAACGTCTTATAGGACACAATGCTCCAATTACAGATGCACATTTTATTCAACGCCTAGGTGAGCAAAACATCGTGGTGAGTTCTTCGAAGGACACCCAGATTAAGTTTTGGAATTTGGAAACTCAATTCTGTTTCAAAACAATTGTGGACAATCGTACAGAGGTATGGGCTTTGGCATTAATTGGGGATATAATGGTAGCAGGTTGCGGTGAAAGTACAATGAACGTTTATCGTCTTCGTCGACGCGATGATCCAACACATAGCATAGAAAACGCTGTTGAAGGTTTAAGTATAGATGATGAGGACACAATTAGTCCTATAACAGTAACCAATTGTGGTGTTATACAGCGGGCGGGTAAGGGACGTTGTGTGAATTTGGTCACAGATCCCGCAGAACGTGTTATTAGTTGTCATGGAACAAATGATTTAATCGAAAATTTCTACATATGCACTGAGGAGGAATCGAAAGAGAGGCTTTCAAAACGTTTAAAAAAATCTCGTAAAACAGCCGAGTCAATGGAGCAAGATGGTAAGGCAAATAATGACTTGCTTTCGAACGGTTTAAGTCTTAGTGACGAAATCAAACGATTGGAAAGTATAAAAGTAAAGCAGAAAATTAAATCAATAGATATCATCCTGGGTGCTAAAAATGAGCTACGTGTGCTTGTAAGCTTAGCAAATAACAGCTTACAATTATACAGTATAAATGCCTCGCTTAAACATAAAACTTCGGAAGAGAGCATTAAACAGCTACGCTCACTGACGCGCGTTGGACATCAATCGGAAGTGCGGTCCGTATGTTTCAGCAACGACTCACTGGCTATTGGCTCTGGTGCCGGCGATTCGTTTAAGTTTTGGAATCGTGATTCCATGCAGTGTCTTCGCACAATAGCAACGGATTATATATTGTGCACCACTTTTGTTCCAGGTGATCGCTATGCACTTTTAGGCATGAAAAGTGGAAAATTAATAATAGTTGATGTCAGCGCAGCGGATATTTGCGAAGAAATACCTGCACATGAGAGCGAATTGTGGTCAATCGCTCTATTGCCAGATATGAAAGGCTGTGTTACCGGTAGTGGTGATACGACTGTAAAAATTTGGACTTTCGAGCTGGTTGACAATGTGGCCACGAATGGTACTACGGAAGTGGATACGACGAGACCCAAAGTTCTTTCGTTATTGCACAGAAATACGCTCAAATTGGAGGAGACAGTTTTATGTGTTCGCGTCTCACCGAATATGAAATACTTAGCCGTGGGTTTGCTCGATGCCACTGTAAAAATATTCTTTCTCGACACTTTTAAGTTTTACTTATCTTTGTACGGTCACAAATTACCAGTGTTATGTCTTGATATCAGTTACGACTCGACACTAATAGCAACAGGGTCGGCAGATCGAAATATAAAAATTTGGGGCTTGGATTTCGGAGACTGTCACAGATCGCTGTTTGCACATGACGACTCGGTGATGGCTCTGCAATTTATACCAAATACACATATGTTGTTCAGTTGCGGCAAAGATGGCAAGGTAAAACAGTGGGATGCAGATTCATTCGAAAAAATATTGACGTTGCCAGGTGAGCAAAGAAATAACTTTGCCAATTTTAATAATATATAATTTAATAATTTATTACAGGACACATTGGGGAAGCGTACAGCTTGGCAGTAAGTCCTAATGGTAAATTTCTTGTTTCATGTGGCTCCGACCGTACACTACGCCTCTTTGAGCGCACAGATGAGCCAATTGTTTTACAAGATGTACAAGAAGAAGAGCGGGAGGAAATGGAAAATCAACAATTAGCCACTGGCGAAGATAGTGGCGTACCTCAACTGCCAGGCTTAAAGTTGCCTTCGAGGAAAACTGTTGGCTCAGAGAAAGCTGCCGAATCGATACTTGAGTGTCTTGAAATTTGCAAACAATACGAGGTACAGGACGAAGAGAAGCCTGAAATTCATCCACTCATGCGAGCCTTGCAAGTAGATAATCCAGATGATTTTCTATTTACAACGTTACTGCGCATACGAGCCTCTGATTTGGAAGAATCCCTTTTATTACTGCCATTTTCAAATGTCTGTGAGCTGTTTGAAAGACTGCCACGTTTAATTGAACGACATAATGATCAGATTGAATTACTTTGTAAAGTTACAATTTTTCTGTTCAAAGTTCATATGAAGCCAATTAGCGCTGCAAAAAATTTAAAACTTTTACTTAACGGCTTAGTACGTGCACTACAACGAGACGTTAGCGAAATGCGGGATACGATTGGGATGAATGTGCATTCATTGATTCTGTTACAACATAAGATTGAAGAACGCGAAGGAGTGGAACTGTTCCGTGAGGCGACACAGGAACGCAAAAAACGTGACAAGAAACGGCGTGAGGCAACCAAAAGGCGATTAGCTATACAAATTACATGAATATCACATATATAGCGCACTAGACTGTGATGTGATATATTTGTGAATTAAGTTTTAATTATTTTATGTAATATACATATGTAAATATATATTTTTTGGTAAATATAAAATTATGAAACATTTATTATTATTATATCAACTATTTTCAATTACAATAATGTGGTATGCATACATCAAGATATTTTTTCGCAAGTTTTGTTTTAAAATGCTAAATGCTAATTTTTAATATTCTCTCTTTGTCCAAGTTGGTAGTTTTAGTTGCTAATTATAGTATTCCGAGTACTTCCTATTAGATGAGCCTATATGTATGTATGTATTGGTTTTAAAGTGAAGTTGGTGAAGTTTGTAGAATGGAGTGAGATTAGAATTCTATGTTAGCTTATATAAAAAAAAAATGTGGTTAGTGTAAGTGTAGATTTCTTTAAACGTTTTCTGTGATATATTATATTTGTGGCGATCGTGAAATCTTAAATAATTTTACATTTAAAGTTACACAAATCGTAGCTAACATTCGCGATAATTAAACTTTGATCAATGGAATGCACACTTAAATCAAATAGAATGGTTTGCTATTAGTTGCATATGCCCGCTTTAGGGACTGAGGGTCCGCAGTTCGTATTGTAACAACCTGAAAGAGAACAATTTTTGGCTTGGTTATTAAGATGCAAAAAAATTAACGAAATGAAAATAAAATTCGTCTAAATAATAGAAAAAAGTTATTAAAAAATGGGTGGGCTCGTTTTATGAACTGCGGCCATTTCAACCTAACCTAACTTTAAATATTTCGGACTTTATAACTGTGTTTACGGCCTGTATTCCTATAAATTGCTGGGCGAAAGATCTATTTTTTGTATGATTTGAATATTTTGCTATACAAAAAAAAAGAAAAACATTTTTTATTGAGCCCAATCGTTAATCCTGTTTATACATTTTTCAGTCAATTAAACCTGATACGATTATTAAGCTATTGTTTTGTTGTTGTTGCGGTTGTTCCAACTCGCTTGGGAACACCGAGATCATCTAACGGGTTCGGACCAGAAGGAGAGGGGTTAGATATGTGGGATTTAGGAGGTATATAAAGAGGTGGTTAGTGTTGTGCAAGGACCCTGTACATGCTGGACATACGTTGGGTATGTGGGGGTCGAGTCTGGGTTTTAACCTGCTAGAATATCCAGAGCTAAGTTGGGCCAGTCTCATTCCCACGATAGCCGATTCTACGTACCGGAATCGACCCGGGTTTTATCCGACCAAGGGCTGTCACTTTTTCGGCGGTCTAATCCCATAAAGATCAACAGGTAACATTATTAAGCTACTCACTAACCACACTATTAAGAAATTAGCGAAGCATGAATATGATGCCTTAAGATTGAATCGTCACGAAAATTTTCACACATTGACATTCGAATAAATTGGTGTAGTGCTGTCAAATGCTGCTTAAAAATCGAAGAAAAGATGGTATGTGCTAATCCTCTTTTCATCCAAATGGGGGGGGGGGGGTCACCCCCACAATTTAAGATGCTAAGATGAAGACCTCGCCCTAGATATTAATAATATACAGCCATGGTCACGCAAATAGCACAAAGTGTATCATACGAGAAAATGTAACTCTTCTGGGGAACATAACGGTATTTTTCTGAATAAAAAAATGTATAATAGTTACTTATGTTGTCTAGTTTACAGTGCGTTTCGTACATTCCCGTTATCCTAGCAATTATATTTTTTTCGTCGATTTATCTGATCGTGCTATTAGTTAGTGGTGGTCACGCAAATAGCACAGTCATCGGTTGGATCTTGAAAGTATGTTTTTGTTTATTTTTAGTGAAATTGAAATACATTTAAAGTTCAGTTCTATCAAAATTTACGCAGATTGAATTAAAATGGGTTGCGGTAAACACTGTTCTCCTTAAAAAAGAATCATTATTCATAACATGGCTAAGACAGGAAAAAGTGTTTCAGAAATTGAAGTTTTCTCGAATTATGCCCATAAAATAGTACATAAAGTCTTTAAACTGGTTCAAGAGAGTGAAGATTATCTATCTCAAAACAAATCCAAGGCACCTGCTACGCGCAAGACAGCGATTTTTGAAGACAGAGCCAAAATACGAAAAAAGAAGCTAGATCATTTTAAATTTTCTAGCCAAAAAATGCTGAAAATAAACGAAGAACTCGATTTGACTATATGAAGAAGTCATGTTGGAAGGCGTTTAAATAAGACCCAGCTCTTTGGTCGCAATACCCGCAAAAAACCACTCCTGTCAAAACGGCATATAGAAAAACGGTTAAAGTTTGCCAAGACGCCTGAGAACCGGGCGATAAGATTTTAGAATAATATCTTATGGACCGATGAAATTAAAATAAATAGAATAGAACCGGATGGGAAAACCACATTTCATCGCCAAAGAGGTCAAGATTTGAGTCCTAGGTACAATAAAAAAGACCATAAAACATAAAGGCGGTAATATCATGATTTGGGGGGCATTTTCCTGGTATGGCGTAGGACCAATTGTGCGAATAAATGGAAAAATGGACAAATATCAATATCTGGACATCTTAAAGAATGAAATGGAGCCATTCGTATGTGACTCCATGCCACCAAATTGGAATTTTATGCAGGATAATGATCCTAAGCATACCGCGAAAATCATATAAGATTGGCTTAAGAAGGAAAATATTCGTGTTTTGGATTAGCCTGCCCAAAGCCCAGACCTAAACCCAATAGAAAATTTATGGAACGATGTTAAAACAAAAATATCTGCAAAAAATTCGGTGATTTGTGGGAGGGCGTCAAGGAAGAGTCGTACTCCATACCAAAAGAAAAATATGAGAAACTTATTGAGAGCATGGGACGCAGATGTGAAGCTATTATTAAAAATCGTGGATATACTACAATATACTAATAGATAAGACCTACTTTGGACTAATAATGGTATATGATCTGGCATATTTGAACTTTAAATTACAAGTTTTGCAAAATGTGCTATTTGCGTGACCAGATAATTTCATTAGGAACCTCAAACTTTCAATTATTTTAAACTTATATTGAATTATTATTAAGTTTTTTTTATAAAGGTTGTGTTAAACAATAACTGAGTGAACACATCGTTACAATATTTTCATATTTTAAACACATATATCCCTTTGTTTCACTATTATCTATCGGAAGGAAAGTTGCGCTATTTGCATGACCATGGCTGTAATTCTCGAATTGAAAACCAGCCAAAAACTTAAATACAAATATTTAACATAAAAAAACAGACATAAATATACTACATAAACTGTACTCACCGCCACAACGTGAAAATGTACCAGGTGGACCGTAGCTGAGTTTTTGTATTGTACATTTTTCGATTGGTGCGGTAGGCTTACAATAAGCCGATTGATGTGCCCATGGCATAGACTGCCGAGGTTGTGGACAATTTGGCAAATAACTTAGCTTATACACGGTACAGTTTTCGACAGGTCCATCCGTACGGAACACACCTGGCTTTGGCCTAATGGGCTCTGGGCGTCTGAATTCACAAACATTTACCGGCATATAGGACAGTTTGTTGATGGTGCAACGATCCATGCTGCCAGTGGCACGACATATTAACGATTGTGGGCGTATAGGAGCACGTCGGCATATTGGTTTCGGTACAAAATCATGTTTCTGTGTTGTCATATTATAAAGAGGACCACAAGACTTCAGGCAATTATCTTTGGGACGAATGGGTTGAGCCCGAGCCACGCAACAATTCGGTTGGTATGATAGCTATAAAGAATAAGGAAGTAGAGTCAAATTATATTTGTTTGATTCTAAGATTTTCAACCCACCTTGTGCACAGTGCATTTTTCCAGAGATCCCGTTGGCATACATATACCTGGACTGGGTCGTATCGGTTCGGGACGACAACATCGAGAATCCACTGGCATGTAGCTGAGCTTATAAACAGTACAACCATCAGTACGATCACTTCCCAAAGTTTTTATACTATGCATTGGTACAACGGGAGCCGCACGGGTAGTGCAGCAATTTGGCAGATAACTGAGATTATATGTTGTGCAAAGGTTTTCGTACCGTGGTGGCATACAACGCACTTTATCAGCCCACGGCATTGGGTCCTTAGGCAATGGACAAACAGGTAGATAACTCAACTTTTGTATTGTACATTTTTCACTAGGACCGGTTGGTCGTTGTATGTTGTACGCTTGTATTATAGGTTTCGGTGGAGGATTCCGGCATACATCTACTGGCATATATGACAGTCGGTTGATTGTGCAACGCTCTAGTGGGTCGCATGGCTTGCAAATGCCATTTATTGGCAGTATAGGCGTACGTTTACTATAACCTTTCGGCACATAGTCATGTTTCTGGGAGGTCATAGCATAAAGTGGCCCACAAAAGCGCAGTCCATTGTCTGGTGGTCTAATTGAAGCGGTACGACCGGGTCCACATGGCGGCAAATATGACAATTTTTGTACCGTGCACGATTCCATACGACCGGTATTTGATAATATATTTGGGCATGGTCGTATTGGTTTTGCACGATAACAGTCACCGCAATTTGCAAAGTATGAACGCTTGTATATCGTGTCCGTCTCAAGTGGTGCCGTCGAGCGCATAATACACGACATCGGACGGATGGGTTGGGTACGTGGCGGCTGTTGATAGCAGCAGCCCGCGTAATCGCCGCAGTCACAACGACAATTACAATCGCCCCCTGGCGGGCACGGCGTATAGTCGACCGGTGCCTGACAAGGATCGCACTTTGGCGGGCAGTACTGATCGCAGGCCATGATCGTATCCCCAGCACAACCGCCACCGGCCGGGCGTAGATTGGCAGTCGGGCTGCAAATGCGAGTGGTAATGAAAAGTGAGAGATATCAAAACAGATGTAAATCTTTTCTAGAAGGTAGAAAATTAACACTTTCTTCCATTTCATAATTCTTAAATCTTTCGGATACTTACTCACACATCGCAGTTCCTTCAAGTTGCGCTTAGAACTGCTTAGCTATTGCTGGAAAGGGTCCAGAGTTGCAAAGTTTTCCTCTTGTTACACAAAAACACAATGGCTATTTAATTTTGACTATTTAAACGCTCGAAAATGAATTTTTGATAATGATAAAACAAAAAACACAGCGGACAAATTTGAAATTTTGTGAACGACAAAAACAGAAATGTGCTCGGTTTATAGTCGAAAACTGAATTGAAATTCAAGTGATTGCTAAGCAAAGTATCCCTCGCACAGGGTGCTTGAGGGGGGTGTACTTTTCTTCGAATGGCATTGACTACGAATTAGGTAGATTTCTTTGAGATGAGTCACGCAGGAGTCGAGAGATCTTGCAAAACTTATTTGTAATTAAATTGTAGAAATAATGAGAATAGAAGATTCGATGGTGTCGAATTCCAGCTGTTTTGAAACAAGAAAAACTACAAGTGTTCCAAGCGAAGGTACAATGGTTTATTTAAGTACCCAAAATTGGTTCAACAACTAAAGATTTCAAATATTTGTCTGATGAACATAAAAGGTATGTTTCATGTTCCATTTCCTTAAACTTCTTGAAAACTATTTTCTACCCGACTTCCACTCCTGGCAACAGTGGAACGGCATTTCAAGTTCACTATGTACAGCCGCCAACGAAGCAATAGGTTTTCGACTGCCTATCTTGCGACGCTCCGATCGATGGTAATGTACGCTGTATGGGAGAGATACCAAGAACCGACTGAGATAATTATTATGTATATCATATTTAATGCCAAAATACACTACCAATTGTACGCCACATTCTTTAAAATTTAACATCAAAATAAATAAATGAATAAAAATTTTAGTTTTGTATTACTTTTATTGTTTATTTACTGTTTTCGTTTCTATTTTAAGAATTAATTCAATTTGAAGGTTTTTTGTTTTGTTTGCAGCATAGTAGTTTAGAGAAACTTTAAATTACTTTATATATCTTTCGATTATATGCACGTATGTATGTATGCTTATTTGTTTTGATTTTTGATTGCGCCAACGTAATGGGTTGACTTGTAGTCTTGAAGACAAAATAGCCATCTCTCTGCAAAATATTACTTGAGTGCTTACAGTATTTCGTATATGATTTCACCATTCACACCGCTGCCATTTTTGAAGAATTTCACAATATATCGAAATGTAAACCAACGGTATACTATTCTTAGACAATATTTACAAGCTGATTCCTTGTTGTTTTTTTTTTCTTATTAACATTCTTGCAAACAAACGACTCTCATATTTTTACTTTTGCCTTTTTCTTATGTACTTTTTCTACAAAATTTTGTTTTACGTTTTTTGCCCCTCTCACTATGTAGTATTCCATCCTTTTATCCTTCCTCTTCTTTTTTTTTTTTTAGTAATATATCATTATTTTTCCATTTTAAATTATTTATTATATTCTCAAATTTTTATTTTACTTAATTCTTCTTCTTGATGCGTCGAAGTCTCGCGCTTGTTTCTCGTTGATCAAATATTATCCACGGAATCAGCATCATCTTCAGAACTTATCTCATCACCGAACTCAATGTCCTCATCGAAACCGTCCTCGACAAATGTTACTGTGTCGTTGATGCGCACCGATTCGGGGAATTCGCCATACGTTTTCAAATTTCTCGCCTCATCGGGTGTGTATTTCAAAATGACATCGGCTTTGGAATCCTGATAATCACGTAGACCGACCAAAATGATGTCACCTTGATTGATCCAAACCTGAAAATGTTCAATAATTTGGTTTAAGTAAAATTATTTTAAAACTATAAAAATATATATCTTAATTAGAAAAAATACATTTCTATTCTAAAAATACATGTCTTAAAAATATATAAATAAAAAAAATGTGAAAATTAAAAATACAAAAATATCTTTATAAAAAACAATATAAATCTTAAACTTAAAAATATAATATATAACTACAATACATACATACATACTATGTGATAGGAGCGATATCAACTATTTTAAAAATAATAACAAACAAACTACCTCCAAAAGAAGAATTTTAATTTATTTTTATTTTTTTATTTATTTTTTAATGAAGCTTAACAAATAAATTATAGCTTTACATTTCGTTGAACTGCACCTATAGTAAAAGTAATATAAGTAATAAGCAACATTTTTCAAAATCTATATGATAAAAATTGCAAGCGCCATTTATTGTTAATTAGTAGCTGCACGTTGAACTATTTCTGAAGTTCCATATATACATACATACGAGCACATATACATATAATATTTATTAGCCAAGTGCAAGCACTATGTTGAGGTTTAGATATTAAAAAAAAAAGGAAAACGGTACTAGTACAACGACCTACCACAAGCTTTACCTATTCTTAGACAATCTGTAAATAAATGAACTTCAACCAAATCACTAAAATACAAGCACAAAAAAAAAAAAAATGCGCGTAAGCATATATGTACATATGTATGTACAAATATACACCATTGTATTTCTGTGAGTCAACAAATATGCCCTGCCAGTAATGATAACAAGTCGGCCAACTTGATATTATTTGCTCATATGTGCATATGTGGAATTCTTGAGTTTTTCGACTGAACTCTAACAGACATACTTATTTCTTGTTACCGAAAGTGTTTGAAAAGAATTTCTATATTTTAAATAATTTAAAATGATAAGACTTCTAATCGAAAAATTAGCTTGCTTTTTCATCAAATTCTAGGTAACCGATTATCGTCATAAACGGACGTAAAAATCCATGAATTACGCTAATTTCATTTTCATGCGTGTGTCTGGGGTAATGAGTCAGGAAAAAATCAAAATTATATTGTATAATTTTACATATCAACACAACTTTGCATGGTAAATTGGTTTTCTGTTTGGGAGATTTAAACTTTAGTTAAGCGTGGAGGAGGTAAAGTTCACCTAGAATCTTCATAGCGATTTTCTGCCGAGCTCCTCTTTAAACTTGTCGGGAGCGTTTTCTATAGTTTCGACTCGAACCCTGACCTTCCGAATGGTAGAACGCGCTGCTAACCACTCGTCTATTGCAGCCTCCCTGAAACCCCATTCCTTCATTAAAATGAAAATTAACTGTTTTCGTTTGATTTTTTAACTGATAGACTAACGAAGTTATTAAGCCCAAAAAGAAAATCCTAGCTTTAAATTATAGCACAAATCTACACTTAAATAAAATTTCAAGCCTCGACACTGCATACTTTTACGGTTTCAATGTGCTAATAAAAGAATAAATCAAACGATCTTGCTAATATTCTGTTCGGTTCGTAATCGAAAACATGTTTTAGCGTTAAAGTTTGTGGCATCTGGAAAAACCAACCGACAAAGGAGAATCTTATCGTCCCATATCTCTCCTTTCCCAAATAGCGAAGACAATTGAGGCCTTGATTAAGTTCAAAAGTATCTCTCCCACTTCTTCACTAGACGACATCTAAAACTACATGCTGAACTTCTGGTATTGTAGCATTTCGCTAACCCCGCTTAGGAGCAAAGGGCTGAGGGTTGCAACGGGTTTGAAACAGAGAGAAAGGGGGTGTAAAATCAGTTGAATTTAGGGGCATGCAAACACACAGGTAATAATAGAGAGATTCCACGTTAAACTATTAGTGTTTTTGTTGTTGTAACCACAAAAATATTCCCCAAAGTACTTTTTGGGCGATGTTGCGGGGGTTGACAGTCCTTGGCCGGATTAAAATCCGGGTCGCTCCGCTATAAAGATCCGACTGTTGTGGCAACTATTGCACACGTTCCACTCTTTCCAATTGGTGTCTGCACTGGTGTCAGATATTTCAACCAAAAACACTAAAATTTTTTGCGAACACCCTCAATCAGAATCAACATAAATAAAAACCGTATATTTAAACCTCAATATCAAAATATAAAAAAAGAGTTGGAAGTTAATTTGTTAGGATCACCTTACTTAACTAAATTGTCGATGGGCTTTGGTTGAAAATTCAAGAGTTTAGAAATCAGTCTTATGTGACAATGCGGCTGCCATTGTGAGTTTCTGTTTTTTTGTTTGATTTTTGAACAGGAACAATCATCTTATAAACAGGCCGCCAAAAATTGTTGCCAATTCGTTTTTCTTATACTTATATTATATTAGATTTGTATCATGAGTATGAAGAAATTGATAGCAAATTATCACCACATTTATCAAAAGACGTGCCCAGACAATCAAAGTTAGAGTAGTTATAAACTGGTGTATGCATGAGGAACGCAAATAATATACAAAGCACAATGTGTGGAGCAGAAAATTTATGTTATGTAAATCAGATGTGAAAAATACAGACCATTAAGGGAGAAGAAAACTGTAGTGATATAATAGGTGTAGTAAAAATTAATACATCATTTTTGCTTAAATTGAATGGTTCAGCCTTATTCACTATATATTTTTAATTTTTTTACAACATTTTGGATGATAAATTTCTTGCGAAAACAATTTGCAGAACATGCCTGATATATGTATATCATTAAAATCAGGAAAACAAAGCAGACCACGTCCACTTTTTACGTTGTCATTCCTTTACGGTCTGTATTCTGCACTTGCTCCAAAAATAAATATTTTATGTGATCTCTGCCGCGATCTCCGCACAAGAGCATTTGCTAACATCACCTCGACTAACTATTGCCGGCTTTTGACTTCTTGCCGTCAACTAATAAGCAACCGAAGTGTGACTCTGCGGGGTGATCCGAGAATGTTACGGGGAACCACAATTAAACGTGATAAAATGAGATTTCATTCACCGCTATTGGGGAAAAGTAACGATGAGAAACGAAAAAAGGAAGGGGAGGCAACCAACAAGACTGCAACACAATACAACAACAGCACACACCTACGGAGTTCTTATATTTGGCAGACTGTGTCAATGCAAAGGAATTCGATGAGTAAGATGATGATGATATCGAGGGTAGGAAAAGCCGTATACTTAGACGACCACAAAGAAATACGAATACATATATGTATATGTAAATATATATATATATATATATATATATATATAACGTACAAACTAAGTTCCAATCTTCTAAAGTGGTAGTAAATGCGGCGCCAGCGAACAGGCAGACGGCAGGTGTCTTATCGAAGGCGAGCGTGGATAAGATAAGAAAGTCGTCGATGTATACCTCGACGTTTGGTATCGAAGTGGCCGAGAATTGAACGCTGGCGTCACTGGTGTACGATCATACGGTCGGCACGCGCAGTTGCAGCGTGTTTATCAATGTCGTGGTATACAAATGGCAACTACATTTCAACTAACGGCATTTATTTCTACATATGCGTTATCTTATCAATATTATAACAGCGCTGCTTGCTGCAGGTAAAATTGGCGAGCTGTCTGCTACGTATAAAATATGTAGCGCTGGCGTCAGCCAAGACAAAACGCAGAAAGATACGAAAGTGAATAAAACTTATTGAAAAGCAGTACCAAACGGAATAAAGCAGCTGATAGATGAAAATTCGCAAATTATCCTCGCATAGAAATAATTGTGAAATTGTGCGCAATAAGCTTATAAACAGAATAAAGAAAAGGCAAAAAAGCGCGTTAACAACCACGGAGAACTGCGTGTGGAATTGTTTTGAGATACAAGAAAGAATCATGCTTACAAATTGGAAAATCACTTGGTTAATACTAATTTTAGTGTTTATAAATATAATGGTGGTACTAAGTACAAATGCACCGTTGCCGGTTAGAAAGGCCCGACTAGCCGGCATGAGTCCCAGGGCAGCAATTGGATTTTTGGAGAATCATCGTTTCAAAATGGATAAAACAAATGCCTGGTCGCCAAAATTACTGGCGAAACACGAGGCGCCACCACATTCAGCACCGTACATCGTTTCAATTCAGCACATGACACCAGATAACGGTCTTGTCCATTATTGTGCTGGCACTATCATCAACGAACATTGGATACTAACAGCAGCACATTGCCTTACTTCAGACGAAACAGTAGAAAATTCCCTCATTGTGGCCGGCTGCCATGATTTGCGCGCCTCTGACGAAGGTGATTGTGTGCAAGTGCGCCCAATCGACCATTATGTGCGACACGAATTATATCTAGGCGGCATCAATCCGTATGATATCGCACTAATCTACACGAAGCGACCGTTGCACTTTACAGAGCACGTGCAACCAGCTCATTTGCCCGAACAGGACACTTTGCCAGAGGGCAGTGGCACACTTTATGGTTGGGGAAATATATCAATGACCCTGGAGCCCAATTACCCACATCGTTTGCAGGAAGCCGAAATGCCTATATTAGATATGGAATTGTGCGAACGCATACTAGCTGAATCTGGTTTACAATTGCACGAGACAAATTTGTGCACAGGTCCATTAAATGGTGGTGTTAGCATTTGTACGGCAGATTCCGGTGGTCCACTGGTACAGTCATGCTGTGATGGTTACGATGAAGAATACATAGTTATTGGCATAGTCTCGTGGGGTAGAATGCCTTGTGGGCAGAAAAATTCACCGTCTGTGTTTGTACGCGTCTCAGCGTTTACCAACTGGATAAGCGAAATTATTTCGACTGCCACGAATTTTGAATAGAGCAATAGGTGAATGCATTCATAAAGGAGAGAGAATTTGAAGTAGGAAGAAAAGCCTGAAGACTGAAACACCGAATCAACACCAGGGCGAGCTTTTGGTGAAGAGAAAAATCTCATATAATTACATATAAGAGCGTATCACTAGTTTTAAAAATAAGACCCAAAGAAATATTTAAATACTATTTGTTAAATTTATAAAAAAAAATTATTACAGAAAAAATCTCGAAAAAAAAATATGAATACAAAAATATATACATATTTATGTAAGATCATATGTGCACATATATACATGTAAATGCACAAGAATATATATAAAATACTTATAATAAAAATTATTTTTGACGAAAATATAAAAAAAAACATCTATTATCATTTTTGAGGAAAATATATAGAAAAAACATCTATTAAAAAGGGCCGTTCATATATTCATTTCAAATGATACATGTGAACATTCCAATAGCATTACCAGAATGAATTTAAGGTTTAATCAACTCTAATCAACACATCAATGATAAATTTTTGTTGCATTCAATTTTTTGCGTTTAATGGAAGAATTGTGAAATTAATAGCAGAATTATGATTTTCTGTACGAACGGCGTAAATGGCAGCGCAAACCGGCAGCCAGGTTACTCATATTAGCGAAAAACTTCAAATGCTTATCAAATTATTGACCAAAGTACAATCTTGTCAGCGTAGATAGGCATATTACAGAGCAAATTTCTTACGTATAGAGAGGCGTGGTAAAAGCGAAGTGATACGTAGTAACACGTTTCTCATATTGCTAATGTTGCATGACTCTTAAAATGCAGCTTAGATACCCGGCAGGGGAAAATACTAGTTTTCAACTAGAATTCTTCTTCATCCATTTTCCATGTAAGCAACTGGTATTTTAAACACGACGATGTCCTACGAGCAGACCATTGTCGTACTATGCATCAGCATCTTACTAGTTTAATACCAGTTCGTTAAGGCATTTTTCATTTCAACTTCACCAAAAAAAAAACCCCCAGACTATCGATATTATATATGGAGGAACGAAATCTGCGCACTTAAACAGAACTTTTTAGGAAATGAAGCTCAGCTATGTCATACTAAAAATGCAAATGACGTGGAGGTGAAAAATTCTGTTTCACCAAAATAAAAATAAAAATTTAAAAATTCTGTTTCACCAAATATTAAAAAAAAAATGGAACTTAAAAAACATTTTCAAACTCGAACCGAAGGGAAGTAATGGCACTCGTCTTGAACTCGTGACAAAAAGTTTGGCTGTTACCGAGTTTATTCTAATTGTGGACGAGTCCACGGCAAGATTGGCACATATTTAATTTTTTTTTTTTTGGTAAAAAATTGCTTTCTTGAGCCAATGCCACAACTTTTTTTAATTCTGTCAGAGAATAAACTTTTAGATTTTCCCTTTCGATAATAATTTTTTAATTAGTTCTCGTTTTTCAACAGTTCAGTGCTTGGCCGGCCCATTTTTTAATAGAAATATATTCTAATATTCTAAAAACAATGTATTTACGGTAATAATTCTTCCAGCATTCAAAATTATTTTAAAATTTCAAGTTTAACCTGAATTCGTTCACACAAAAGGACTATTTTACTGGCACTGCTATGTACACACACATGTACACATAAATGTGATTGGCGCTTTGTATAAGCTGAAGAGATTTTTTGCCAAACTCCTCCTCGATTCGACGATGATCGTCTTGATGTCATTTTGAACAAGTGGAGAGATAAAATGTTCATTCTTAGCCGCTTTCGAGTGTATGATCGATTTTCTTTTCTTTTAATTTTATATCAGAAATAGCATCGGAAGAGCTAACATTAAATTAATTTAATTTTCTATAATTTCATATTTTGGTTCGGACTCAAAGCCAGGAATATCCGCATTGCAGTATGCACTGTTAACCACTCGGCTTTTGCGACTGTCACGCAAAATCTAGTATGACAAAAAATTTCCTAAAGGGGTCGTAGTTTTCAATTTAAATACCACAAAGCACTTGTAGGTGCTTGATTTAAGTATATCAGATAAACGAAGAATTTCGCACTGAATCTTCATGATTAGGAAATAAATGTATTAACAGAAATGTATTTTTAGCATATCAAAGGAATTCAAAATCATCAATTACAACATAAACGTCTGACAAACAAAAAATGGAAGATTGCTTATATTTAACTAAGAGGGAAAAAATATTAAAATAGAAACAATTTTCGTAAAAAACATGTAAGAGGTTTTTAGGATCAAGATATTATTTTTTGTTAGTGGCTGCTTTCATTATTCTGCTACTCTTAATTTTATTATTAAAATGAATAATAAATATGCTGCGACCTATCGTTTTCGGAGGTCTCTACAATATTCTAAACTATATAAACTCAGTTTTAGTTTTGCGCGTCTTGAATAAGTGAAATCATAGTAACACTAAAGTTACCGTTATATTTTACTGGTAGCTAGTCATTTTTGCTTAGGTTTTAGTTTTTGGATGTGAGGTGAATATCTATTGGTTGATATCAAGGATAGTACTAAAAAAAAATTAAAAATTATAGTCAACTTCCACTCACTTATGTTCCCCAGTGTATATATTAGGCTGCAACTACCCATTTCACTTACCATTCGACCACAACTGGCGAGGTCTAGGCGAGATACATACACGAGTTATCGTCACCGATTTTCATAATTTATTTGCTTGAATATGACATGGCGCTCTCATAAGATAGGTTACTATGGACGGCTGGTACGTGAGTTGGGTAGTTGCAGCATTAGAAGCAAAGATGACATGATACGAAACTCTTTATCTCGTGAGAGGGCTCTAAAAATCCAAATTTTTTGTATCATTTTCCAACTGAGCCACCAAAGATAATATGATACGAAGCTCTTTCTCGCGAAAGCGCCGAAAAATGTGCATTTTTTACAAAAATTTTAAACCTTGCCCCTACGGTGAAACTATAGTTGGGTATAATTAAATGAAAACTTTGAGTACAATTTCTGTCCTTAATTAAGAAAAAATAATCGAGAAACGCATTTATCTACAATTAGTGAGTCTCGTATCATGTTATCTTTGTAAAAGGGCAAAAATTTACTCCGAAAATCCCTCATTCATGTTATCTTTGTCAGAAGTGTGTACAAGGCGAATTCATGAAGGTGAGAGGAGGAGAACAAAAACAACAATTACCGTGTATTTTGTTTTTGTTTTCCGTGTAAAAATTGACAAATGACAGTAAAGTAGTTTTATTTTATGGGATGTTAGGAAATTCTTGAAGAACATGTATTCGGAAGGGAATTTCGTAATCAATGGCAAAGAGCATATATTAATATACCTGTTTGGCAATGGCTAAAATACTCAGTCACATTACACGAAATATAAATAGGAAAAAGTACTATAATTGCTATGGTCATAAGAGATTACTAGAATTACCAATATCTTTAAGTTCTTGTAACGCTGTGCAGACTTTCTTACTTACTTTACTGGCGTAGACACCGCTTAATATTTACATTATATAATTTATTTTAATAAATATTTGTTCAATGTTAACATTGGAAAGATATGTTAATTTAACCACAATATAAACGTATTTTTCTTCTTAAAGAATAGTATATGCATAATAAACCCTTTTCCTAAATTTCTTTGGCAGGCACGATTCTAGATAGATGTAGATCCTTCATTTTGGGGAATTTGGAATCGAGCTTCTCTTTCTATGTACATACAAAACCCAACGGATTACTTCGACAAGACCCCAAACAGGAGTGAATTGTGGAGAACAAACGGCCTCGATCAAGATGCCATACCCACCTTTACAGGCGGCTCAAAGCTCGATTAAAAAGTGGGCTCTCAATAATAAGATAGCAGGAATATCAGTTACGATAGATTCCGATGGTCAAGCTGCTATCAGATCTCTACAGTGTAACAGTACCACATCTAAAGTGACTATAAAATGTAGAAGGAATCTGAAAAAATTCGACTAAATGCAACACTGCATAGTTTGGGTGCCCGGACACTTCAGGCAATTGCACGGCAGACGAACTAGGTTAACCTTTCTCATGGCAAAGAATATGTAAGATAGAGCAACTTAGTCACAAATGCAAGCGCTAGATGGCAGAATGAGATCACGAGAATCGTGACCAGACAGCTATGGATGTCTTCATGGAAAAAAGGGCTTCACTATAATCATTTTTGCCACAGAAGAAGATTCTATGGTCCGAACATTTGAGTGAAGATAAAAGCCGCTAATAGCAGTATCAAAATGATCATATTCCCTAAGTACATTGGTCACTGATTAATAGCCGCATGAATACAACTCAAATCAAAAACGGAACATATTCACAAATCTAATTTTTAAAATTTTTGACTATACAATTAGATATTCAAAATAAAAATAACAAAAAATCAAAATGTAAACAAACATACAGAACATAAACAAACATTTAGACTACCTTTAAACTCAAGCGAATTAATTAAATGAAAAAACTTGATTAATTCCCCTTGTTTTAGTAAACTGCCTCTATTTTGTTTTAAAAGATCAAAATGAGTCGAAGAGATATTTGGAACGAAACGAAAGCTGCATACAAGTAAACAAAACAAAACTGTTCTCAAAGCATTGTTTTAACAAACAGTGTGTTTGATCAAATGGGCCCAGGATAATACTAAAATTTTTGATCATATGTGTATTTTTCATATAAATAAGATATGGGAATCTCATTTTCATTACAGCTAAATACAATAGTATACACGAAATTAAAATAATTTTATGAAAACTAAAAGTCAAAGTCAATTGCTGACGAAAGTACCGTTATTTGTTTATGTATTGCATGTCAAGCGTATATTTTGAACATTTTTGTACCGTATTTATGAAAAAAAAAATAAATTTAAACTTTTTGTCCTGCGTGATTTCCTGTTTTTAAAGAATTTACCGTTATTTACGCGACTTTGAATACTTTTTTGGATTGTATTGTTGATTAATTATCTACCTTAAATAAACTGCATTCTTACATTTACTCTAAAATGCGTAATTTTAATAAAAAGTGGAATTTTATAGGTGTATTTAAACTTTTGTCTTTGACTGTATATATTTATGTGTGTAACTATCATCTAAGAAAATATTTATTATTTATGTATAGTTTACATTTTTTTGGAAACTACCTTTAGGAACATTAGTTAAAAAGTATTTTTCCACTTGAAGAAAACGTTTTACTAAAAAGAAAGAGTCTTGAAAAATAATTGCCTATTTCTTTTTTAGACATACATACATATGAGCGAGGTTGCATTTGCGTACCGATTGAATATATTCTTTGCAGTAGGTGCTATGCAGATAAATGTACATATTCAATATCTTACGGCCCCTGTATAAACACACACATAAGTATTTACAAAAGATTATAAAATTGCAACCCAAAACATTGACAACTTATTTTTCCACTTTCTTTTATTTTCGTTTGTTAACTGAAGGGCAACAAGATTGCAATGAAGGTGGTGGGGCGAGGAACAGATTTAAGTTTTTGTAAGCATACTTATATTTAGGCGAATACATATATATGTATGTATGTGTCTCCATAGAGGAGCTCGGTTGAATATTCAGGGAAAATAATGGTACAAATATACATATGTGCAAATAAAATACATAAAAATTGAGGCAAGAAACAAAGGAATCACTTTAGATGTGCCTTAACATATAGCTTTGTTCACTATTATTTAGTATGAATCTAAAAATTAATACAACGCGATCACATTTTCGTACCTTTTATATACATATGTAAACGTTCAAATACCGCCTCACCCCACTTTAACATTCTTAACCTACCTTCTTTCTGAGTTTCCCCCGAATATGACACAGGCGTTTCACTCCGTCAAAACATGTTGCTTCTAGACGACCATTGCCTAACATTTTGGTGACTTGTGCATATTCCTGCTGATCTTCCTTGAAAATCAACTCACGTTTCTCGAATTCGTTTTCATTCTTTCCACGACGACGATTTTTACCTCCTTTTCCCTTATTTTTAGGCATTTTGTTCTTTCAATCTAGGTTCACCTGTCTCGATGTTTATTTTCCTTTGTGTCGTTCCCGAAATGCACTCTCAATTTCGATTCTACAAAAATTTTAAAAACTTTTATGAAGTTAACGTGTTATTCTGAACAAATTTGTTAAAAAATTGTGAAAAATTAACTTACGAAAATGCTTGAAAACGTCGTGACGAACTTTTCGCTTCAAGTCTTTCGACAGAAAGGAAAGAGAAATTGCGATGTATCTTTTGGTTTTTAGTCAAAGTACCTAAAGCATAAGTGCAAGCGAAACGAGTAGCGTATTTTAATTTGACCGAAGAATCAAATCAATATGGCTGCGCAGAAAAGAGTACAATATATGGCGAGATAAAAGATAATCCACATATCCAGGGATGCTCAGTTTGAAAATAAAAAATTTAAGCAAACTAGTATTATGCAGACTGTCAACTTTTGTTGATAATATGTTTTCCTTTTTCAAAATTTATCACATAAGCGATCTGTTTAAAATGAATTACTGGAATGTTAAACAAATACTGTAGATATGAAAAATGTATTATGATAAGTATTAATACAAATATATTTAAAAAAATATTGTATAACATATTTTATAAGGTTTATACACTAATCTGCTATTTATACATTTTGAAATGCAAAATAAAATTTATTTTTAATTATGCTATCAATCCTTTGAGTTCGATCATTGGTTTGTTAAATAAAAGTCCCAAGAGTTTATTTTTTACAATTTCTGGTTTGTGGAAAACTTAGTCAACGTTTATTTAATAGTCAACATAAATGTAACAATTGGTTTTGGTATACACGATGACTTATTTTACAACTCTAATTCTCTACTATTTTTACATTGTTTTTCTCCTGCAAATACAATGTTTATTCACACAACTTAATGCATTTAACTTTAAACCGATTTCGTCAATACCGAATTCCAAACAAACTGACCTTGCCAGTAATGTGCGCTTTGCCTTTTATACAGATTGATCGAATTCGTGTTGCTTAGAACTTCTTTTAGTTATCGTCCTCTCCGAGCCCCCTCTCATTGCTATTTTCGCCGGGCTCTCATAATACGACGTAAACAATTGAAACAAGTTTGTGAACGCCTTCATAATTCTCATACGAACATTTCAAGCAAAATATGTAGTCAGTTGCCCAAAGGAAATGAGGACAGTAGTATAAATAAATATTATTTCATAAATTTACTGTGTTTAATTGTAAAACAACTAAGGATTCCATATTTGTACAAATAATTTTGTTTATAAGCTCAAGGAATAGAGTTCATAATGAGTCAACAATTCGGCGACGTCGCTTGATATTATTGGCCACATCCAACGAATGGGGAGAAAAACAAACAAAAAAGTTCTGCCCTAAACAAAGAATAGTGTATAATACAATATACGAAAACTTCAAAAATTTCTTATCAGTTGGTTGTGAATCTGATAACTACCTACTTAGTTTCGATATTTAATAAAACACATATATATTTATTAAAACTTTGTAAGGTGTAACAGCTGTTGAGGGGAACTTTAAGATACAATATAAAGACCGAGTATAGTGTGACGTGTCACAAAGCGCAGCAGCCAACGTACCATTATAAAAGTGCTTATTAAGTTTTTTTGAAATATAAAAAAAATGTGTGGTACAAATACTACGGGTACAAAGGGGACAAGAGCTCTTATACTTGTGGGGGGCTATGGAACTCGGCTACGACCCTTAACCCTTAGCACACCGAAACCACTAGTAGAGTTTGCCAACAAGCCTATTTTACTGCATCAATTAGAAGCTTTAGTTAATGCAGGTTGCAACCAGGTTTGCTTTTTATATCATTCTTATTCTTATAAAATAATATGCATACACAATTTCAGGTTATACTTGCTGTATCTTATCGAGCTGAGCAAATGGAAAAGGAGCTTAAACAAGAAGCAGAGAAGTTAGGAGTTAATTTAATATTCTCGCATGAAACTGAACCCCTTGGTACAGCTGGTCCTTTAGCTTTGGCGAAAGACATACTGAGTTCTAGCAAGGAACCGTTTTATGTACTGAATTCTGATGTCATTTGTGATTTTCCATTCAAACAGTTAGAACAGTTTCATAAAAATCACGGCAAGGAAGGTACAATTGTTGTAACAAAAGTAGAAGAGCCATCTAAGTACGGTGTGGTGCTTTACAATGAACAGGGTCGAATCGAGAACTTCATAGAAAAACCACAAGAGTTCGTGAGCAACAAAATTAATGCCGGTATATACATATTTAATCCATCTGTGCTAGACCGCATAGAAGTGAAACCTACTTCAATTGAAAAGGAAGTATTTCCCGTAATGGCTAATGAAAAACAGTTGTATGCGATGGAACTGCCAGGTTTTTGGATGGATATTGGGCAACCCAAGGATTTCTTAACAGGTGCGAAAATCAGTCTATTATGTATATATATATATAATTTAGAAACTTCAAAATTATCTGAACTTAACCACTACAGCATATCACCGTCATTATTTATCAATTGGTAGTCATACATTAAATACATACATATATATTTGTTACCGATATCACAGGCAGGCTAGTTACTTAAAATGATAACGCTATATAGGAAGCCAGATTATGCTATTTATTTTTATCTACTTCCTTTCGATTTCCCTACACTAAACATTTGTGTGTGATGTAATCAAGTAAATTTTAAAACTTAATTGTTTTCTTTTTCAATATGAATTTATCTTCATTGATCTAATAATAATAAAAATTTAATTAATGTTTTAGGCATGTGCCTTTACCTAACATCGTTGCGGCAGAAACAGTCGTCAAAACTTTACACAGGCGTGGGTGTTGTTGGCAATGTGCTGGTGGATCCTACAGCTAAAATTGGCGAAGGTTGTCGGATCGGACCAAACGTGACTATCGGTCCAGATGTCGTAATTGAAGATGGCGTTTGTATCAAACGTTCAACAATTTTGAAAGGTGCCATAGTAAAGTCTCATTCTTGGCTGGATTCTTGTATTGTGGGTTGGCGTTCGGTTGTAGGTCGCTGGGTGCGCTTGGAGGGCATAACAGTCCTTGGGGAAGATGTTATTGTAAAGGATGAAATCTACATAAACGGTGGACAGGTGCTGCCACATAAAAGTATAGCCGCTAGTGTGCCAGAACCACAGATAATAATGTGAATGATGTATGTCAACGCATATTATATATGTAGCTAATGAGATGGAGTTTTCTTCACTATACTACATACTCTAATTGTAATATATAGGTATTATTACGTGTTGTCTATGCTTTACTCCTTATTTTCCTTAAATATACATATTCCTAATTCAAATTTTTTGGTCCGACATTTCCACTTAGTCTTCTAATCATTTATATTTGAATAAGGTACGCTATTTACACTGGTACGTAACAATATATTGAATATTACATCATTGACTTAAGGATTGACATCGATACTGTAGTAAGAAGAAGAGTTAATATAAAAATGATTTCTGCAAGTCGATACTTATACCGTGTAGTATAAAAAAAATAAAAACTTGCTTTTAAAAATATGCTTTATATGAAAGGCTTTGCTTTCCTACTAAGCACATGTACATATCTGTGCATGGGGATACTTTTAATTTTATAAAGTTTTATACATATAATATTAATTCAATTTTCTAATTTCGTTCTCTCTCGGCAGGGAGTGTCAACTCCTCCGAGTGTATTTATGACATGAAATAAATGCTCCTCATAAAAAACCATCAGCCGTTCGGAGGCGGCTTAGTATAAACTACCTCCCTTTTCCCTCCATTTGTTGGAAAAACATCAATCACATTCCACGAATTGGAGGAGGAACTTGGCCGAAAATCCCTTCAGTGGTTGCAAAGCACCAATTATATATACATATATTATAAATATATTAACCTTAACCTTAGGCATTGCTGCAATAAATATTCGAAATATTTTTTTCTTTTTCAACCAATTCAATTGCCTCCAGTTAACTACATAACTTAAGTATGTAATACTTCGAGTGCATTTCTGACATAGAGTCTCCTCATAAGAAAGAAGAGTCAGCTTTCGAAGGTGGTAGGTCCCTCGATTTGTTGAAAAAATAATACATCCAGACGCATACAACAAATTGGAAGAGGACCTCTGCCGATAATCCCTTCAGCGGTTACAAAGCGTCATTATATACATATAAAAATTAAGTGCCTAATAGATACAGATTTATGATTTCTTTAAACATAAGGACTGTATGATAAGTCTGAAGAATTATTCGCATCCAGGCGCAGATTTTGTTGACTTAACAAAAAGATTGACTAAATGCGGTTATATATTTGAATACATCTGAGAAAACATCCTACAAATGACACACAGTTCAAGAAATAACTACTTAAATGTTTTAATTTTTTCAAAGATTTTATTTAAGTTTATAATTTATATGTAGTAATTGCAATTAAGATTGTAATTATAGGTAATTGTGGTATTTTGTTTACAAGCTACATACTTTTCCATATGGGTGTTCTATTTGTAGTCGCTAAATACAGTATACATCATTATATTATGTAATTTTATGTTCGTAATACTTTAAGCTAAGACTCATTAAGTTTTTATTACGTTTATTGTGACATTTGTTATGTCTTAATGTTTACTTTAGCATTTCCAGATCATTTATCATTATTTACTAAATAAATGAAACATCCCCATTTTCTCAATTTGTATTTAGAAATCTTTACCTACAAGTTTATAATCTCAACCTAGTATAGATATTATATTTATTCGAAATTTACATTTCAGTATGTTTGCAATAAAAATTGTTAAATATCACAACACACATTTACATTTTTTATTTTTATCCATCATTATTATTTCCTCTTAAGTAGTGTTACAAGCGTTTAATTTTGCTTTGAAGTGATCTAGGGTGGTAAATATGAGTTTTATTTCTTTTCATTTTTTATAAAGACGTTCAACGCCAACTACTACACTTAAAACAACGCGTGAACGCCTGCATTTACATATACATATTTGCACAAATACACTTACAATTAAGTAGTTTAACTAATATTTTATTAATAGCTCGCCATTGTGCTCATCAGACCAAATAAGAAGATTCTTTGTAATTATAGCCCAGTTCTTGAACTGACAAAATTTTTTTACAACTAGTTGAGGTCTTTAGATGCAATTATGCATTTCTGGTACATATACAACCACTGATTTTTATCTACGTATCAGCGGCTAATCCTTTTAAATCTTATAAATACATTTTTGTAAAATATTTATGTGGATATTTTTTATAATACTTATTTGTTGAGTACATTGTTGTTTAGCATACAAATGTCTCAATAATGTTTAGGATATATTTAAATACATAAATACACAATAAATAAATTTAACTTAGAAACTATGCAAATACCGACTCATCAGTAAATTATTTGAAGAACACTGAATCAAATTCCAAATGGGACTGGACTGTTTCAATAGAAAATAATGGTTTATAATAGTTATCTTATATGACAAGTTTACTCGAATTCTTAAACAAATAATGACGATATATAGCTCACAATTCGAAAAATGAAAATAATATTGTTTAAAATGATTAATCAATTAATATGATTGATTTCCATTTTTAGATAACTAACCTGCAATATATTTTCTTTAAAACATATTTCAAAAATTATAAATTATAGCTAATAATATCGAGAGGCTCATTCTTATCCTTAGTTGTGTGAGCCCTTTCTGCTTGGTGTGGTGTTATTCGACTTCATTGTAAAAAGTAATAAAATTTAGGATACACTCTTGAGTATAACACTAACAATTTCAATAAAACCGAACTCGTGAATTTTTATAGCGATTTATAGCGCTAAAAGTTGATAATCCTGAAATGTGAAAAAATTTTTAAACAACAAATTTTAAAACTCTATGACTTATGCCAGAGAAATATATCCGTTATTTTTCCGTGTTGGCAAGTCAAAAGGATATGCTATTAAATAATAACTTAAGAACTTATTACAATTGTAAAAAATAGTCAAAATTATAAAATAAAGCTAGATCGAAAATTAATTTTAAAAACAAATTAAGTTACTAAAAGTAAAATCTTGGTGCACTCTACATTTGTATTTTCTAGAAGACAAATTCGAGATATTAAGGAATATTAGTTAAGCATGAAATATGAAATTTCGTTTATGTAAGAAAAGAAAATGCAAACTATTGTTTGTCCATCATTCCATTTTCTTAATGCAATTTCAACGTCTAAAACAGCAAAAATTATGTTGCAATTCTAATTATTACTTCTTTAAGCCTTTAACTTTGCATAAGTTAAAAAAAAATGTATAGTATGTTAAAAAAATTCATGTTTAATAATAATTGGTAATTTACTTCCGCTTAATTCTTTCCCCAATGGTTCTAAACACTTGGTTATCACCTCAAAATAGATTTCTAGCGAAAATAAGACTTTACAGTATGATTTATATTTTATTACAAATAAAATAGTAATAGTATAAAAATAGTCGTACCACAAACTGGTAGCTTATTATAGAGTGTACTCATTACCCCTCTATGAGCCAGTAAAAATCAGAGCGCTAGCCGACTAGTAAATAGATTGACACGAAAAATTTACAAACAATATTGTTACACGTGAAAATATTTTCTTATGCTTACAACTTAGAAGCATAGGCCAAAGCGAATTCATTTAATTCTCTCTTTTACTGGCATAATTTTTCCGAAAATATTTTTGTATAGTGCAATATTAAAATTTAATTTGCCAATTTTCATATAACTGTTACCACTAAGTTACTTTCAGATAAATACAACAATCTTTAATACCAAAAAAATGTCTTGGTTCAATCAACTAGTTGTACTTCGCTGTGTCTTACACTTGAATTTCCTTGCTTTTGCATCAGCTCTTTCACCCTCGATCGTGTCATTGGTGGCGAGAAGGTATCGTAGGAATGATTTTGTGTACTACGAGCGTTACGTCTCCTTATCGTAATACGTTTGACAGCGTCAATTTTTAAACAGTCATCATTACCATTTTTTGACAGCCTTGCACTTTTACGAACAGGCGGCAAAGAACTTTCTTCACCCACATCAATTGATGCATTCTCTGCTATTGCAGAGTCAATAATTTCATTCACCGAAAGAGATTCGTCAATATGTTTTCGCTTACGTTGCTTGTGTTTAACGTTGGCAAGGGTAGCAGTCTCAATTTTACTGTTACATTTCGTTATAGTTCTGTTGCTTTTTATATTTGGGATCTTTTCTTGGGCAAATGCAACTATATTAATTACTTTTGACTTGGTGGTATTCCGTGTGCCTTTCTTTGTTGCAATTTGTAAAGGAATAGTTGTACCCTTTTTATTTCTAGGTGTAATTGTTGGTTTGCTTTTATCCCTGGAAGCAGCTTCTGTAGTTTTTGTTTCTATTTTTTTAATAATCAGGTTAGTGGGTAAATTGAGATTATTGACTTGTGTAAATGACTGCTTGCGACTTCGTAGAATGAGTTGGGTGAGGGGAACCTTAATTGGTGATTTGGGCAGCTGTTGCATTTTCAATCCGGAAGCTGCCTTGGAGGGACGTCCAAGTCGTGTGTTAGTATGGTGAGTTTTGCATTGGCTCTTCTTTTTAGAAAATCTATTTTGCGATTTTACCCTGGTGGTTTGATTTATATCTACGAGTGTCTTCATTTGTGCGACCAAACGTACGAATGCAGATTGATGAGAAGCTGATGTTATGATTGTAGTCAATAAGGTAGAGCTGTAAAAGAAATTTTATAATTATTCATTTTTCGCTATTTATTTGGATATTATTAAGCCTTCTCACTTTTTAAATAGTGAATTTCGTAATCTGGAATAAGAAATACAATTTTGAACGTTAAATTTTCACAAAAGATACAGCAAAAGTAATTTCTAACAGAGAACTGGAAAATTTTCACAAACTTAAAGAAAATTTCAAGGTAAACTTAATTTTTCTTCAATCGACAGTTGTGATGATTTGCAAGCAAGGTAGATTTAAACGAAGATGAAATAAAATACAGGTGAATTAAGTAAGCAATTGTGGCATTTTTCGGAGAAACACGAAACACGTTTAACTACAGCTATAAAGCCGTCTTTGAAGAGCGACTGAAACAACTATTAAAATATGTATGGTAAGTAATTGGATGGCTTTTTTAATTTTTTGTTGTTTCGAAGCCGACCTTGCTAAAGATTTTTTTCTAAGTATAATATGAAATAATGTTACGTGAATATGGGAATACTCAGCAAGAAACGGTTTGTCGAGCAACTAAACCTATCTGCGACTATATCATTGGCGCTTTGCAACTACTGCAGCCTCTGAATGACTGAAGGTTTTTTAAAAGGGGAGCCATTATTTAATTTAAGAAGTACACTTTGATTGGTTGACATTCCTTGCCGACGTAATTTCTTATTTAAATTAATTTTCTAGAACCGGCTAGCGCGGCCGCCACCAATCTGCGACTGTGAGCCAAAAATTTTAATAATCTAAAAATCTGGAGTAATTCGGAGTTGATTGGCCAGTTTGGCTATAGCTTTTTTGCAACGTTATTATGCTTACCCAAACATGTTCGGTAAGGTCTAATTAACGTTACTTTTGAACATAATATACAACTTATGCGACATTCTTAGGAGTCCGTAAAACTTACTTTAATTTTTTTTTATAGTAAAACTAATAGTAATTAATTATTAACATTGAGGTATAAGATGTTTAAGAAAGAAGATAGTTTACCTTGGCTTTGGCTTGAAGTGGTGTTTTTTGTGCAGATGTGTTGGACTTTCTTTATCATCCTCAGCTGCTTCTTCCTCTTCTTCGCTGCTATCATCTGTTAACTTGGAACAATCATCACAGTTCAAGTTTTTAATATTCGTTGCTAAACATGCTAAAGGTTTTCTTATGGCTGCTCCACCTCGTGACTTGCTGCCACTGTAAAAATTTATAAATTTATAAAGATTCATAGATCATAAGAGAAAGCATACCATTTCCAGCGCACAGTTGGTGCCGGTAAAATGGGCTTAAAATGGCACATTTCCTTATTAATGCTGTCCGTACTGCTTGTTTCTTGACGTTCTTGTGAGTTACGATGTATTTTGGTGGGTGGGACGGTATTAAGCTTTAGAGTTTTCGAAACGTTGGTTGAAATCGACGTCCTCTCAATTGCACCACCTGATGTTGAAGCACCTGTCGCTAAAGTTGTGTAATTAGCTGATTTGCTAGCTATGGTATTTCTTGATGGGACTCTTACAGCAACAGCTGATGCCACATGAGCATGTTTTAAAGTGCCAACAACGGTTGCGTTTATGTTGTTAGTTTTGTTGTTGCGAAAGGTAATACTTGAAGCGCTGGACGTTGTATTGTTAGAATTGGTGGTGGTTGTAAGCGCTTTTTGTACGGTATCTTTTAAAAATTCGGTCCCTCGATTAAGCCGTACTTGAATTGTTTTCATAAGCGTGCTGGCTGCGTTGCTGGTGCTGCAATTATTATTTACCACAGAGGGATTGTTGACGTTGGAGTTTTTTGATGTTACTGGCGAGCTAAGACGTGTCTTCTTGGGCGCACTACTGCCGAGAAGGGAATAAGTCGTTGTTTGTCCTGGAGTGGCGACCAGCATTATGTTGATGTGATGGATAAGCGTAGGAAAATGAAGGTCTTCTTAGCGTGTAAGTACATGCCAGAAGCAATAATTAAAATCTGGAAAAACTGAAAAAAATTTAATGTAAAAAGTTTTGATATTTTTCATTTAAATACTAAATTGGGAAAGATCAATTTTGCATTCGACTACTAAATATTCGCAAACTTAGCATCGGCAAACATATACAATTACACTCTTCTCATTTTATTTGCTCTCGATCCTTGTGAAAATTTCCCCACTACTTACATTCCTTGGATGTCACTAAAATTATCTATAGTGTTGCTAAATGCTTATTTAAAGCCGGATTTTTCACAAATTCGAGACAAAAGGGGTTACATTAACGTATGCAATCCTCGTAATTACACAAATATCTAATAGCAATTCTTTCATTCATAAATAGCACTTAATAGTAATGTACGACAAGCCGATTTTTTACAATTCCACTATCTTTTACTATTTACTATGCTCTTTACGACTCTTTACTACAATTCCGAGCCTTTCTCATTATTTCTCTAGTTTTCCTTCTGTACATTTTCAGACTCCTTTCCGTAAAAAAACCTCTTTTTTTAGCCATACTGACATGAAGTCAATTTTCGCGTTTTACTAATCGCAAGGAATTAACTTTCTAAACAGAAAGCATTATTTAAAATTTACCTGATACACTGACTTAAATTTAACTTCTTGATTCGTTACTAATTTGTTTATAGAAGTATTTACATTCGATTTAAAACTCTTTGTTAGCGGCAATTCTTTGTACACATTTCGCACATTTGATAAGTGCTGCCAAGCTTATATAAAATAAGTGCTGCCTGATTGCTAGGTTGATTGCTTGTACCTTAATGATAAGAAACACATAGACAATTTGAAGCTGAGCAAATTCAAATTTAATTATTTATTTTATTAAATATATCCTCTTTGCTAGAACTATATATGTACATTACTATATAGACAAAACAGTTTCCCAATAATAGTACAACGTACTAGTGTTGGCTGTCAACCGGTACTTGCAACAGATTCAATAACTTTGCTAGTGAAGCACTAATAATTGGAAATTTAATTTCTAGGTGCAGACAGCCGAAATAGCCGAGTGGTTAACATTGCGTACTGCCATTCGGAAAGCTCGGGTTAAAGTCCCCGTGCGACCAACATCCCAAAGTTATAGAAAATTAGTTAAAACAAAAAATTAGGTGAAATTTTCTAATTGCGGTCGCCCCTCGGGAGGGAATGTCATCCGCTCCGGGTGTATTTCTGACTGAAATAAAGGCTATTAGGAGGGGAAAAAAACCATCAGGCGTTCAGAGGCAGCTTAGTATAAACTGTAGGTTCCCCCATTTGTTGGGGAGGACCTCAAAACGCAAAACCAAAAATTGGAGGAGGAGCTCGCCGGAAAATCTCTTCCGCAGTTACAAAGCGCCAATTATATAAGTGTAGATTAAGGAGTATAGTCACGTTCTGGAATATTTTATTCTGCAATTATATAAAAATAACTTGCGAGACGCAAATTGCGGGAAAGAAATAAAATTTCGTGAAAATCGCCACGACTGACGGTACCTTTAGAGTTGACGACGTAACTTTGTTGCAGTTTGCTTTCGGCGCATTTCGCTAAAACTCTCTAAGGCCGAGTTTACACATGGATACTTTTTGTCGCTGAAACACTCGTTTGAATGGGAGGGGGCGACGACGAAGGCGACAGCGCACCGTGTCGCTGTGCTCGTTCGACACGTTATGTGTTTCTATGCGTATCTGTAGATTTTAGCATTCTCTTTTATTTTGTTTTTCTCTTTGAACTGATTGTAGCTGTCTTAAATTTCAAACGAACAAATGTTTTAAATTTGGAGATCGAAATTTGGGTTTTTGCTACAATATTTATGTATATATGCATGAAAACATACACATGATCATGTGCGCATATGCATCTAATTATTAATTTTTCAGATAATGGAGTTTGCAGACAACGTTGAATTAATGCAAGAAGTATTGTTACGATTTTACTAAATCAACCTCGATGATTTTCTGAATCCTTCGGGTACGATCACTGGATTGTTAAATAAAACTCGCCAACTTAATTTGCAGTTTCTTTCTTTATAAAGAATTAATCTAATTTCCTTTATTTTCTCAGTAATTCACTATTCAATTACAATGCACTTTACTATTTACAATCACTATAATCAACTTTCACAATTTACTCTACTTAAATGTAATCTCCAACGTGTTTACTTTACGACTTTACTGATGTTAACGCCAACGAGATCACTTTATCACTAACTTGACTTGCAGCTG